ATATGTATATATGTATATATAATATATATATAATATATATATATAAAATATGTATATATATATCGGGCATTCACGTCCACGAACGTTGATAACGCATGTTTCTTGACTGGATGTCACTATCTGGATCTACTATGAGCGAAGCATGAAGTGTCGTAGCTTTCTTCCGTGTGGAAATATTGTCTGTTTTATACTGTGTCACAGTGCCTTTCTAGTATATATGTATATACATATATATACAAGGGTTTTAAAGCCAGCGAAGTTCTCGCGTTTCCGACGCGGCCCCTCTGATTTGATATTTCTGATTATGTCATCCTTAATTTCACGTTTTAATTGGAGGAACGCTTCTCGTGTCGTTCAACGTTTATATTACTTTGATTTCATTGCATTTCGTTTATCTGCTCGTATTTCAATTTTGAGAAAAATTATAATCTAAAAATTAATCGAAAATTTAATTTCTATTTTTGTATTAATGCGGCGACATTTAACATCAATTATATTAAACTTCCACTTTTTCGGAAAAATTCAATCATCAATCTTTTTATTTTATGAATTTTTTTTTATCGATTAAATAACTCTCTTCCTCTCTCTCCAATTCGGAAGAATAATGCCCGTAATTCTCTTTTCTGCGTGAAAATGTTCTTTTTGTCTTTTCTTGGTTTCTTTCGCCTTCTTGGTTTCTTTGCCCTACTTTCAGCATCGCTGACGTTTCGCGTTTTCCCACGGAATATTAGATTTTGTAATCTCAAGATCTTCTCTCACTCTCTCTCTCTCTCTCTCTCTCTCTCTCTCTCTCACTCTCATAATCGAGAAAACGAGTGACTTAGTCGTGCTATGAAATGCTTCAGCCGCGCGCGTGCACGGCACTCTCACGCAGTCACGCGAGCATGAGCACGTATATATCACGCCGTCACACTTGCATCGTCGAATAAGCTGCAGTTGAACAGCATCATCCCGACGGTTACGAGCCGAGGAAAGTTCCTTCGCCGTGAGGCGATTTGTAATCTCGCACTTTTCGGAAATGTTTACACCTCCTGTCGGCATATCAAAATAACACGAACACGCGACGATAGAAAATATTCATATTTATATGTTCCGTTAAAATTGAAAGAAACTTGAATATCGTGCTATACATCTCTAATTGGTCGATTCATCATTCATTTCTTTGTCGATTACTGGAACTCGAATAACAAAAGTAATGTCAAAAAAATATATGAATACTTTTAAATATGATCGCACGCACGTCCATACATTTAGAATTGAAATAAAATTGATAAATCAAATCAAATTCAGAAACATCGTGCATAGAATATCAAATTCAGGATTGATATTATTGCTTTGAAAATATTGGCTACAAAATATTCTATTACATAGATATTATTTATATTGAAAAACGCAGCTGTTACTTTTTGTTGCCATTTAATTCGCGAAATTGTATATATTTTCTACACATTCGATATTTTTTCACGCTTTGTCGGAACTTTTCTCGCGCGTCGTTGCCGTTCTCCGGAATTGCATACATATACTCGAGCGATTGTCGGGACTCGTTTTTCGTCCCATGAAATAGAAAAAAGAGAAAGCAAATAAAGAGTAACAGCAAAGAGAGAATAATAAAAGAACGAAATAACAGGAATAGCAGGGAAAACGGAAAAGAAAAAGTAGATGGAAAAAAAAAAAAAACGTTGGTGGCAGCAAATAACACGTACGGATATTGTGGTATCCGAGGCTTCTCCTCGGTTCTCCCCTTAACTTTCTTTCGTTGTTTATTTTTTTTTACCCTTCGTCCAAGACGCGCGAGACGTCGATCGTCTCCGCGCTCGCACGCAGCATCACCGGGGCATCTCCGGGGGCTCGCGAACCGCAGGCTGTGTGAACCCTGGTTGGCAAACGAGCAAGCAAGAGGGTGGTGGGGCTTAAGCGCTCTCTCCTTCCGGCCGGAATATACACGCCTACGCGTCTAACATCCGTAAACTAAACCGCTTGGCGTGCGACTATACTACTCTTTCGAGTCCACCGTAAGTATATACGTAGTTCTGCCGAGCGATCGTAACTCTCTATGCGGCTAATTGCAAACGGCGACCATGCGGGCGCATCCTTAAACGTGTTCATTCACGTGGATCGAATCGCGGTATTGGTGAACTTGATGATGAATTGGACTAGAAGGTATATACGAGTTGAGTTTAAAAAAAATTTAGAGATTAGCTTTAATTATGTATACAAAACTATGTGCGAAATACTTTATTATAGCTGGCTTGTTAATTGACTCTATATTGACGATACGGTAATTTCCTCATGCTCGTGGTTGGACCGTAAATTAATGAGACATGTCGGCCTGATTTTGCTGGTTACCAGCGACCACCGTGGCATTTAACGTGTTCAAACTATTGACTGAAACATGATTTTTGAATATATAATTTTATCGATAAAATTATTACAAGGGACATATAATTTTTTAAAAGTTATTTTTTTCACGATATATGATTATTTTAACATAATTTTATTCGTTTAATGAAATGTTATTGTGGCTAACAAAAAATATATTAATTTATGTTGTTTCTTGCTTTTTATGACAATTATCATTTTTACCGTATATTTTTTCGTATTTTAACACTTCCGGAACATATAAAAAGAGGAGAGAAAGAATCTGTTATATTTCTAGTTTAAATAGTTGAGATCTGCCAGAAAAGCTATAAATTTTATGAAAGAAATTTTTCATCAAATAAATTCGACTGACATGAAGTACGATTCTTTTTCCTTCTGAAATTTTATACAAGCAACAATATCAATTTTTAACATATTCAAGTGATAGATATTTAATATGTAATTAAAAATGTGTTTCTTATTTAAGTAACAAAAAATTTGTCTGCTTAATTTTATGCATTGCAAGCGAAAAGAGTTCTATTTAGAAGTTATTATATGTAATTTCTCTCTCGTATTTATTTCGGATTTGCATTGAGCCATTTTTATGGAATGCTTAGTGTACAGTCGGAGGAGAACACTTTTGATGTGAAATTTTTCATGTATAACATTAAAAATGCAACAGAATTTAGCCTAATAAATGGAAAAACGAATATCCATGAATTTCGCGTCTTTTGCTGAAAAAATGTGTCCAATGTAGAGATTAAATAAATTAACATGCAAGCCAAAGATAATACTGGACAAATTTTAGTAAATTTAAGCACCAAAAATTTTTAAAAATCTTTTCATTTCACAAGAATATTTTTTTTTTTTTTTTCACGACAAGGATTTTCTAATATAAACGCAGTTTTCGTTGCTATAACATCGTGAGATATTTCGCGATCAATGAAAACTTGTGTTATATGTAAGGAATGGTGGAATTAATGCAAAATCAACGCAATCTTGTAATGCTACAGCACCAATTGCAAATTTACTAAGTTTCGCGCGCTGAGAATTACCCTTTGGAACAACTTTGCTGGTCGAACCGCGGCGTTAAACTCGCGGCGGATATACATGTCCGCCCGCAATACTTACCTTCGACTCATCGAACCGTAAAATTCGCCATTCGACCACGAAGCAAACTTGCTCGCAACTTCGTCCATCCGCTCCATTTGCCTCTCTAACGAGAGTGGACTCGGGATTTGGATGCGCTGCGTGAGTCCCGATTGCAAAGCCGCGGCCCAAGTATATACACTTAACTACAGCTAACATACGTACAGAGTAATCCAAAACCTTTCAGAGATGGACAATTTGTGACGTCGATTTTTTTCTAATATGAAAACTTTTCATCTTATGCAATTAAAATTTAGCTAATTTTTAAAATTAATTTTAAATTGATTTATCGACAAACAGAAACTTCATTTAAAAGTTTCATGATGAAGTGTTTAACGTTAAAAGTTTTTAAAATATTGGAGAGAAATCAGCGATTTTTTCAAATATTTCTTGCAAAGAAAAAAATTGTATTCCAGATTTATTGTAGCATCTCTGAAAATATTTTTTCGGTGAGCATTATATTTCTTTACAACCCCTTTTGGGACAATATATTGATTCGCTTGTAACGTGTGTGTGTGTGTGTGTGTATGTAAGTTAGTTGGTAGCGATCTCGGCTAGTAGTGTACGTAGCTTGTGTAACTAATGTGTTTTTTATGTAGCGAGTAACAACACCCCCACTACTTCTTCCTCGTGTGTCGGTTCGATTCACATCACTAATAACCACTACTACCCTCGGCTGTTGTTGTGTTGAGGCTCTCGCAACCTTATCAACTGGCGATCGCAAACGCCTGCAGGCTATCGCGTAAGTATTCCAAATCTATCAAAGTATGTAGTACTCTGTCGCGATCACGAGACATCCACCTACGCTCGTCTACACACGCGCAATATTAATTTTTACCTATTTTTATGTAATACTTTTTTTCTGTCTGTTGTGTCTTTTCCCTTATTCGCCTCCTCTCTTTCTCTCTCCAACTCTCTCACATAATTTTTTCATTAATACAGCGTTAATTAAATTTCATTATATAAATGATATTTAATTAAATATTGATTTAAATAAAGAGCTTATATATTTAATTATAATATAGAGTTGTTAATCATATTTCAAAGTGTCCAAATTATATTGCATAACGTTTCAACGAATAAAATTGAAAATTTTTACTGTCGTCTAAAATTACCAATAAGAAGTAATATGTTGAAAATTTATGGGATATTTTTTTGCGTTTTGCGAACGAGAAACGATCCTATTAATCCAGCGAGACCGACTCTACAGGTTGTAATTATAGGAAGAGATTATATAAATCATACAGATGCTATCGCGAAGCACAAGAGAGAACGAGAGATATTAGTAGTTTCCAATTTTCTACTAAATTTGAACCCCTACTAACGAATCTTTCCTAGTCGCATGAGTATTAGTAGTCGTTGTCTACGTCAAACACTGATAGTTGTTTCAATCACAAGTGTGTTTAATTGTGTAGTGCAAAAAAAAAAAAAATAGCTGGACGATTTTGGTTCTCGAAATATCGAACGAATAATCATGCAAACTCAATACAAAAATGATTCAACGATACGCAGCGCCAAAATCGTCCGACATCATCGACGTAGATCTCGAGGCACCATCCATCCTTCTCTCCTTCCTCTCTAAAGAAGACAGATTAACGCTTCGTCGAAGCAAAAAAAAAAAAAAAAAATTGACAGCGCACATGGAGGACCTGGTTGAATCTGACCTTGCAGTGTCATTGTAGGGTTTCAAGGGTGAGAGCGGTGTGACATTGGCGAGAGGTGTTCTCGGCATTCCGGGTCCGAAGGGTGAGCCCGGCGAACGGGGTTACCAAGGCGAAAAGGGCGGCAAGGGAGACGCGGGTTCACAAGGTAGAGATAATACCGTCCAATCGCGGCGGAAAATCGACGGGATAAACGGAGGATAAGCGTTCGAGAGAAAACGATCGCGTCCGTCCTCTCTCTCACTTCGTGGCCAGGACGCGGATTTCTTCGTGGGTCCTTCCCACGAGGATTCGCCGCTCCTCGTCCTTCGTACCTTTGGCCGCGCCTCTCCGCTCTGTGCGTGACCAAAAATTATGGGGATTCGTAATTTTCCCCAGAACGATGGTTAGCAGCGCGATATTTTCTTCTTTTTTTTTTTACCAAATATTTCGCGCTCGCTGCTGATTAATGCTGCTAACCAGTTTTTTTTCCTTTTTTGGTTGAAATGTATTTATTTTTCTGTTAAATTATATTTATTTTTCAAAAATTTATGATGTGAGGAAAAATAATTTTTTGACATATCGCTCCATTTCAGTCAATTGCAGTTGATATCTGTATAATTGTATGTGAAAGAATAGGATTTCTCGTGTGGTGTAGGTGTGAAATATCATGTTGAAGGATCCTATTCTTCCACCTGATTATATGAACATACCAGAGAATGGTGCAAGTGCAATGGACACGCGAACATAAGATCAATTCAAAGTTTCTTGTTCAAGATATTTAATGACAAAACGATTCGAAAAGTTCTCTCACGAAACTTGAAAACGACCCAGCGCGTTGGCTTTCGAGAAAAGAATTTGTAGCAACCCTCCTCCCCCTATAATCTCTTTCGAATGTAATACTCCGACTTCGTCTTCCGTGAAAAATCAAAAGTTAAAGTTAATAACTTTCATATTATTTAATATTAATTCATTTGTTCGAAAGATTTAATTAAATGTTTCCTAAAAAACATTACACACGATATTTATTTAATCATTATTGCATCAATATTGCGCGTTTAATGACAAACATTAAAGGATAATAATCGACGCGACAAATTTTTGATGAATGCTTTTCGTAATATCAATCAAAGCATCGACAGAAAGTATTTATACAAAAGATATTAATTTATTGACAATATTTCATTGACTGTCGTTTTAAAAGCGACATACAAATAAAACACAATAATAATAATTTGTCAATGCATACAAAGGCATATTGCTGATCAACCACATTTTTAACTCTACAGACAAATCATACAAATTCAATACTTATATACAGGGTGTCCGGTAACTAACGGATCAATGATTAAGGGCGGATTCTCTGGCCAATTTGGAGACGATTTTTCCTTAGCAAAAATGTTGAGAAGTCAATAATTTTCGAGTTATAAACGATTGAAAAAAATGGGTTTTTTGAAAACTAAACGTTTTGAAGTCTAACATAATTACATTCTTCAGTTAATTTCAGATAGAGTTTACTATAATGAAATTTTAATTTGAGGCTTAGTTATAAAGATACATAATGACAAATATTGGAAAGTTGTAAAAAATGATGACCTGTTTCGACATTTTCGCTGAGGAAAAATCGTTCCCAAATTGACCAAAGAATCCATTTGTAATCGTTGGTCCGTTAGTTACCGGACACCCAGGATATATATATATTACAAGTCGTCTTCCACGAAGAGAAAACGATACTTAAATCTTAAATCGACAATAAACATCAAGTATTCTCTGATCTCTCGGGAAAAATCATTCTTTCGAGATAAAATAAACACACTAGAAGTATTCCGAGCACGGAGAATCACTCGGGGCGAAATGAGAAGTCAAGAAGTGAAGAAACACAACGGAAGAGAAGAAAGGGGGACGAGGGCCTTTTTGCCTCGCGTTTACGAAATTACGAGAATTACATCGATCGTACGCGCTCGCGCGAATTAATCCAACTTCGGCGAACGAACAACCGGCATCTCACGGCCGGCAAATTCGCTTTTCAGGGCCCAAGGGAGAGTCGGGGTTGCAGGGCTTGCCGGGGCTCAACGGAACCGACGGCGATCCCGGTATTCAAGGACCCCCAGGATTACCGGTAAGTAGGACGTAAATGAGAAATGTTCCCCAAAATCTCCTCGTCTCTCACGATCTTCCCGATGTAATATTCAGTAGACATTACACGCCACGTGTTTCACAAAGGTGGCGAAAATTTAATATCCCTTTCCTTGTCCTACTTTGCATAACGTTATAAAAGCTCTTATTTTATGTTATACATATTATATACATATATTGTATTACGAAGTGCTGAGGAAGAAAATTTAATATAGGAAAATAAATTTATATATATATATATTACGTATTTAATGATATACTTTTTGGTGTACAAAGACATTTCTCACGCGGTATACATTTTCGTGTAAATTATATATTACCATGAATTTTGTACACTGAGATTTAAAATGCAAGCGCGGAACCTTGAAAATGTTCCCGGAGTTAAGGAAGAGTTAAATCTGTAATATATTTTACATACGTCGCGCTCGTCTGTCTCGCTTCAGGGAATATCCGGACCCAAAGGTGAGAAAGGTGACTACGGTGACATCGGTCCCCAGGTCTTATGGGACCTCCGGGTCTACCCGGCCCACCGGTACGTAAATTGCCCGTAACGTCACGCCTCAACGCGATTTTCTTTCTTATCGTATATTTCGTCTGATGCGATTTTTGCCTGTCGACAGGGCTATCCTGGAATGAAAGGCGAAAAGGGAGAGAAAGGCGAATCGGTGAGTACATTTGTCACTGTTGTTTGCGTTTATCGAATTGCATTCCGCTCGAGATTCAAAATATGGTGCAGGTACCTAATAAATTTCTTGAAAAAATTATTATATAAAAAGAGAATAATAGAAGGGAATATATTTTTGAAAAATTATATAAAAATAAATAATAGCGAAGAGGACATAAGGAATTTTACATACGGTAAATTAGACAAAGTTATAAAACATTTTGTTATTTATATAAATTTCAATTTTAATTTTCGTGTTTTTCATATTTAAGAATACAAAATGAAATATGATCTCGTCGCGAAACAATTTCGCAAAAATTCATTTTATTCAGAATCCAGTAAATTTGAACAAGATTCTATTATCGGAGAATCTTGTATGATTTTTCCAGATGAACATCGTGTTTCGCGATATGTACGTTGTCGAAAATACTGTATCTTCTCGATGTAACGTCATATTTTCGTCACAATAACATCCGCGATAAATACGAAACTGCGGTTTCAATAATTGTATGTGTGTGTTAAACAGAATCTGACGATAGAATAAATTTTCTTTTCATGGCGGGACATCGGCCTTCCACCCATAGAAGTACAAAAAGCTTAGACGAAGACAGGTACGTGACCGTTTACGTCTACAATATTTTCATATCCTTTCGTATCCTTCGATCGTGCGACAAAAGGAGTCGTCCGATTGAAGGAGGATGCTCGAAAAAAACTAATGTTTAATACATCGATATTAATGCACGTGTAAACATGTCAAATTTACATGTTTGTTCGCAGGGAGATGGCACGTTTGAGATGAATGCCGGGGAAGTGGTAAGTTATCTTGCAAATAATCTTACGAAATTATATTCCTCTCAGTTATAATGTCATATAGATGATATGGAAACGTGTCGCCCATCCGTGTAAAGAAATATTGTGAACAATATCGCTTCACTCCGTAGTGTTCGAGCGGCTTTTAAATTTTCGGCCACGTCGCTATTGCGGCATCGACTTTATACCTCGCTATGGCCGCGTTTTATGGAGTTATGTAACCCTTTGCGGCGATTTATGGATATTATAAAGCAATTTCCCCGAAGCGCTGTAAAAATTGTTGAATAAAATCCGTTTGTATTTTCCGCTTTTACGGTATATTACGTTTATCGGTTTATTTTTGAGAAAATAATGTGAAAACACATTATATTCCATCGTAACAATTCTAATGGATTTGATGGACACAGATTGTAAAATCCAAAGTTTGTAAATGTTTGCAAATCTTTGCCGTTCGCGAAATCGATCACAAATTGTTTTTAATTGTCGATGTACAGATAATGGGTCCGCCCGGACCTCCAGGACCCGCTGGTACTCCCGGATTACAGGGTCCACCTGGCATCAAGGGTGACAGAGGACACGACGGCGCCAAGGGCGATTCTGTCAGTAACTATTATCTATCTGTTGATCGCGTACATCACACGTAGAACGTAAAAAAAGCACGGTTACACCCGTTCGTGTTGTTACGCGACCGAAAATAAACGAGTTCTCTCCCTTTCCGGAGTTGTAAACATCAAATAACAAAATCGATCTGTTTGTCTATCGCTGTTTTGCACACAAAAACGCTATAAAAACTAAACCTTTTTTTATTTTAAGTGCATCTTCATCGTGCTATTATTGAATATTTAAAAAAAACCACTATAGCGAACTCGGTTTTTACCGCAACGATAAATTTCTTTTTTTTTTTTTTTTTTTTTACATTATTAATTTAGCTCGTGTGCCGCAGTGAACAATAAAAAATGACAACGTATTAAATAAGGGAAAAATGACATTCGTTCTATTTAAATTTTCGAATATTCTGATCAGTCGTATGAATTGAAAAGGTGTAAATAAAATTAAAGAGATATTTGACGTAATCGCGAGATAAAAGTCAAAGTGACGAAGTGAACGCTAGTAGGACGCGTCGTAATTTTCTTCGCGCGCCCTTCGCGAGAAAGATCGCGTTAGCGATGCGACTCCCGAGGCGTGAAGCTATTCGCGTCGGTGATCTTTGCGAGATGACCTTTTTGCGTGCGCGACACCATCGCGATGCGGGTAAGCCCGTTCTCACGCGTCGCCCTTTTCTTTTTTCACGTTGCAGGGAGAGAAGGGTGCCAAAGGAGATCCTGGTCCGATGGGACTGCCCGTACGTATTTTCTCTCCAGATTACACACGCACTCACACGCACGCACACTCGCGTATAGCCTTATATATATATAGTAAGCACGCTCTAAGCGCGGATGCAGGAAGACGCACAGAGACGGACGGGAAGCGAATATCCGGCGGATATTTTCCGAGAAAGAAAGTCCTGCAATCCTGTTTTCGCTCTTTTTCTCCGGAAAATTCACGATCCGAAAATTCAAACGTAGCGTTTCTCGTCCCTTTCGGTCCAGTTTAAGTAACTTGACTGCAATTTATGATATATTCAAGAAAAAAATAAATGATTTCTCTTACACATATATTTTTTTGCAAGAAAAATTGCGGACTGAAAGGGACTCTAGAGTATTATGGCACGTGGTATAATTAACTTGAATTGGACTTTATCGCCAGAGCAAAGTAGGTACACGAGAAAGAAAGACGGGAAGAGGTGCGTGCGCAAATGTACGAAGGTATACACACATTGCAATCTCTCCTGCATGATAAAACGATACAAATACAAATACAAAATAATATCTATATAGAAGTGCATATCGTCCACCGAGCGGTAGCCAAGTTGCGTGCGGTATCGCCGAAATCCTGCCGAATCGTGAGACTCCCGCTGATGGGCGTTCTGTCTATCTAATTTCAGGGCCCCATGGGACTGAGGGGAGAGTCCGGAAAGCCCGGGGATTCCGGGAAACCTGGCGCCATGGTAAGAACGCGGACCTCCCGCTCCTAACGCCATCGTTACTTGGCGTTGCCGCCGCGGAATTCGCTGATAATAAGCCGATAAGTGCGTTTATATTCGCGCGCGCGCGACAGTCGCAACGCTAGCTTGGCCGGCCACCTCTCGATCGCCACTCGGGTGAGAGCACTTGCTCGCGTGCGTGTTGCGTGTACATATACATAAAATACAGCGAGGACTGATGAGACGAGCTCGAGGGAAGAACATGTGGCGGTCAACGTTCGCGTGTCGAGAGCGGCGATTCGAGAGGAGGCGCGCGAGAACCAACCATCATCGACATGTTTTAGATCGTGTAGAAATGCCCGTCAGCTGCTGGATCCCCCGATCCTCTCCTCCCCCCGCGAGACGGATTTCGAGTACCGTCGATCGATCTCCTGCCAGGCCATTGGTCGCTGCTATTCAATTTCGATATAATTAAGGTGTCTCTTAACGCGAAAACTCAACATTCGAGACTCGTTACGACTCGGGACACCGAGGTCGCGCGTTTTCCTCTTCGGTATCGGAAAGCGATATGTATACGATATATACATATATATATATATACAATCTGAAATATATATATATATATATTTATCGTACTTTACAGAAGCGTGCATGCGCTCTGAAAGAATATTCGCTTCGACGTTGAGGAACGCGGTCTTCAACACTGATATCTATCCGCGCGCAACTTCATCGTTGCTTCGCTCGAGAACGAAGCGCAGAGAGGCCGAATATAAATCCTCCTCTAGCTTGCGATCATAAATTTCCGCAACGTTTACAGACGCGGAGTGTCTAAATTCGTCAAGCGATTTAAATCGCGCCGATGTCTAACAATGATGAAGACTACAGGAATGCGGAAGGAACGTCTTCCAGTGTGTTGAAATTTCGTCGAGATTGATCGTAAGTGAGAATCGCGCCAAATTGGAATGATGAGCTATACAGGATGTTCGACGATTGTTCTCGGAAATATTTTAGGAGAGTCGCGACGAATTTAGAGGGTCTCCAATATAAATAAAATATTTCTGTAATTTTAAATATCATCTCTCAAAGTTATCGGGATTTTGCAGAGTCTCTCGATTCCAATTCTACATCCTAAAATATTCCGCGAATCCGACACATCCTGTATATCTGATGTCGCGCATAGCATAGAGCCGCTTATTTTGCAAAAGGCTCCTAATAAATCAGATTTGATAAAATAACGGGAATTTAACGATTAATTGTTAAGGGCAAACAAAAAAGAAATAATGATCGCGACGCCGCGTGTATCTATTTTATTGACATATTCGAAATACTTTCGAAATAAATTTCTCGTCTGCGCGTAACTTGCGCACGATCACACGCATGTTACGCGTATCACACCACCATCCGTCCTCTTAACTTACTCTATACGTATCGGCTAATAGTCAGCCGTTTGCGCCGACCGAGAACGTTAGATTCTCGATCGCGAGCGCAAGTATACTCAGAGAGTTTGGTGGGTCTAAGAAAAATAATGAACTTCGCCGTCCCGCTAAATTTTGTATCTCGGCGTGATATGAAAAAAAAGACGTACGGATTCCATTCTCTCCTGAATGAGTCACTTAGCGTAAGAAAGACTCCTTTATCTCTTATCGAATAAAACGTAAAGGCAACGCTTTAATTATCGCACTATTTATAGCGTAATAAAGTAGAGTATGTGAGATATGTCGTTTCATTATCGAATCATATTTGTCGAATAATTATGCGATTTTTTATTTTACTTTCGGATCTCTAGGTTCGGTATTCTAGAGAAATTTGCATAGAAGAGATTTACATGAAAAAAAAATTTTTTTTTTTTTAATAAAAGACAAAAATTAAACGGTGCAACATGTGAAGATCGTAATTACTGATCAAGTAACGTTTATCGGAAGTGAAAAGTTTAATTTTCATCTAAATTAACTTGGCAAGCTTTGAGAAACAATTTTCAACCTGTCCCTTTGTCTGGCAAAATCCACTTTTCCGTTGTGCCTCTCCTGAGAATAATTCAGTCGGCTTGTACTTAACGAAAGCTCGCTCTCGCAGCATCGCCGGCGCCTAATAATAACCCAGCCATTTATCATGATTCCTCTTCGTTCTACATTTCTTCGTAGTATTCCAGTCGCATTTCACGAACCATCAAGAATTCCGTACGGGAACGTTACGTCGGGAGAATTCCGTAAGACATATTAATAGGAAGAAAAAATAGAAGAGGGAATAAAATTAAAACTCCCGATCGAAAAAGAAAGAAAAAAGAGCAAACGCATCGCACAGCTATCATATTAAATTACGACGTCGAAAGCGAGAAATCGGACGCAATATTTTCTTATAAATCACGGTGTAAATCACGGTAGATATAAAAATAAATTTACATCAACAAATATATATATATACATATACATATATATGTATATCGCAATAAAAATGTTCGTGATTACTCGTCGCTGACGTCAGCGCGGCTTCATCAGGAGGATAATATCTCGGTAACGTTTCCGATTCTTCGCTGCTCGATCCAGACTTGCGTCTCAGTAAGAAAACAAACAAAACGAATAAACGCATTATTTTGATAATTAAATTCGCTAAAAGCGGCTTTTCTCTCGCGCAGAACAGCTGGATGCGTTTTAAATCATTGCTCAGCGCTTGCAAAGCTTGCATAAGGAAGCAACAGCAGCAGTAGCGGGCAAACAAAAGAGAGAGAAAAGGAGAGGAAAGGTGAATGTATTCGGCCACTTACATTCGGCAAGACCTTTTATGGGAGTCGTGGGAAACGTTGCTGATATTGCGCACGAACATCGGTCGCGAGGAAATTTCGCGTTCGCTGAACAGTAGTAGAACCGTTTCTGTGGCTGGCCGCCGCGAATAACAAGTAGGAGAAAATACCGATCTCTCCTCCTCCTTCTCTCTCTTTTTCTCGTCTGCTCTTTCGGCTTTTCCGCCACTATCCCGTCGGGTGCGCTAAAATGCAGTATCGATAGTTTGCGATATATTCTCCCGCGGAACTTTAATGGAACCGTGAGAGGAGAACACGCGGATATGATGTTTCTAATCAATATAGCAAAGTCGACGCAACATTCTTGTCGGTGATAAACTAGACGTTCAAACTAAATGTTCATATACGAGATGCGTCTAGGATAGTCGATAATTTTAGCGAACGTTCCTCCGACGATGAAGTTAAACAAATCTCAAACTAACAAAGCTTCTCAAGAGTATTTTGCACATGCTGAAAATGCGGAAAGAATCTCGATATCGTGAAATACATGTAAGATGTGATTACTGGTAGAGGTAATTACTTGGCCTATATAAAAAGGATCTTATCCGAAGTACAACGAGATGCCGATAGCGAAGCATCTTCTCAAAGATGATCTCAATATCTAGGAAAGATATTATTTCTTGTGGAGGATAGGCGAATCGTATGTGTATTATGTGATCGCACAGATATTGATTCTGATAGCTCAAACAAATCTTCCAGTCTTCAAATTTTAGTTATAAAAAAAAAAGACTCCTCGAAAATTAAGTGTATAATTTTCAGAAATTATTAATAATTTTTTTGTCGAAAAAAATTCTAAAAAAAAAAAAGATACTATCATATTTGACTTTACGCGTCTATCCTCGACGTAAATCTGAAAATACGGAACAGAAAGAATCATGAGAATGTACAGTGTAGAATAAAACGACGTATAACGGTATATTTGGCGCGCCGTCACAATCGATGTATCGTCTATAACGGACTACGAGCGATACCTAACACACCTCTAATTCTTGTGTACACTTGAAAACAATAAATTAAATATAGTCTAAGAGGATAAACTGGACGGGAGAGCGCGAACGTGGTTACGTTCGATGACAACTCTATTTGATGACAATGACTCTCCTGTGCGTGTAAAGTGTATGACGGTCACACACATACACATATGCATAAACAAACGCACATACGTATATGTATACAAACGCTCACACACATGTATACTCTCGGACACACACGTAACATACATATACTACACGAGAAGGAACGTATGCGTGACGAGAAACGTGGAGAACGCAGTCGCGTTTTGATGCGTAAATAAATCGATCATATGTATATAAATATACGGGGTGTTGATCTCGAGCCTGTCGACAAAAAACTCTTTCTTCCGAAATTTATTGTTATTTTGGAAAATAGTTTTGTTGAAGAATATTTTTCTCTTTCTCGACATTGATGAAATAATCGAACGAAAGCGTCTGTAATTATATCGATCTGGCGAAACTAGGCGAAAAATCTACGGGGTTTTTTTTTTTTTAATGACTCCCGATAGAGTTCGCTGAAATTTCGGTGAAACGAGGTACTCGCGGGCAAAAGTATCCATTAAAAGAACCGTGTTCGTTTCAACGCGTTCAATTTCGAAAGTTTTGTCGATGAAACTCGGAAACGCCTTGTATACCCATTTGTATGTGTATGTCTGTAAATGTTAAGTACAAGTAAGAAGTCCATATGTACACGTAACTGCGTGTCGTATGCAGATATATACGCACAGACCGTCATCGTATATCGAAGTCTCTTTATAGATTCATTGACCGATTTAAAATCGACTTTTTTTCCTCTCCTCTGACAAGTCTTTGGACGAAAATTTAATTACGAGACGAATATTTCTCGACCTCAAAGACTTGAAGAGTTTTTCTTCGATTGACTTTAACATTGTATAAATAGCAACAGCTAATTTTTCCGATAATTTCAAATAAGTTTTGCTTAAATGAAAATGTAATTTAAACTTTACTTGTCAAATATTTGATCAAATTTTCGCCGAGCAAAGGTTGACTACGAAAGTTCGCGGAAGAATCCATAACCGGGGGAGATGTTCGATAATCATAAGATGACACTCTGTGTGCATATATTATATATAGTAGTATATATACACATACAACACACACACACACACATATACACAATAAATCCAGACGCGTGTGTCTCTGCGTGCGTTAATTGTTAAGGCGGCGCTCTCCTCTCTTAAGCCGATCAACCTAAGGCGATCTAATTGAATGCGTATGTGAATACTGACTCTAACATCAGTTTTGTTTTACATTGTCCCGATTAATAAACAGAATGTGCATGTGCCTGTGTCCTTTGCTTCTAAAACTGCCTACCGAAAAATTAATGCTTTCTCTCTTTTTCTCTTTTTTTTTTTTACACACACATACACATTATATATTTATATATATATAATATAATAATCCAATAATATAATTATCTCGCTTCTTTTGCATTGTGCTACGACTGTTTTGCGATCCATCTTCTTCTATCTCTCCTTGTATTTGCATCTGTCGCAAGTTGCAAGTTGAAAAAAATAGGAAAAGATTTAAAGATAAAGAGGACTTAAAATTAACACGTGTTAATTTGCTGCGACCACGAATGGTGGCTTTATAATCGGCGGGTCGTTCAGGCCGACGATTAATCTTGCTACCTTAGAGTTAAAATTCTAAAGAAGGAAAAAAAAAAAGGATGAAAACACAAAAAAGGCGCCACAAGCGTCGACGCTTCGTTACGAAGTGCGCTAGATTTTTTTTTCTCTCTGAACTCTGCTCAAGCTCCTGCTCTATACCTTCCACGAAGCCGTGTCCGCCCTCGATTGTCAGTATTCCTCGGTCTCGGGGATTAATTTTGATAATACGAGAAGGGGGGCGGGAAAGGGGTGAAGATAATCTCGCGACGACGGGTCGAAGATGAGTTTCGGAGTTGAAATGCCCGAACGAGCGTTGAACGCGAAGCTGAAAGAAATCTAATTCATTACGGGGCACCGGCTAAGTTTTATTCCGCGGAAAGAAGAAGAAGCAGAAGAAGAAGAAGAAGAATGTTTGCACATCGTTTTTAAGCAGCTCGAAAAAAAAAAAAAAAAAAGAAACATTCTCTCTCTATTTAGAAATGATATAGAAATTTACTCAAAATTACACTTCAAATATTTACAGAGCCACGGATATAGTCGTCGTAACGCGGAGAAGAGAAAGAGAGCACACGGGGAAATCCTCCAATATATAGAGGGCAATTTCATTACAATGAAAATCGATCGAATATCTCCTTCCCTCCGGCCAATATCTGTACCGGCACATCAAGCGCGAGTATAACTTAATTTGGAAAATCCGAGAGTTCTCGAAACTTCACCGGGGGAAGAGAGTTGCGAGTTGGTATATAACGCCGATCGACACGGAGAGAGGGTTGTATTTATATAACGAAACAGTCAACGTGGCGCGTTGTGCAAATATTCTTCCACGGTTTCCAAACCGGCATTTTTCCGCGTTTCCCGATCGATCGACGCGCGACGAGTATTAACGAGGATCCTGAAGCACTCGAGGGCGATGATTTAAAAGAGCGTCTCTAAATAATAAAGATGCCTCCCACTCTCCTTCCTTTCTCTCTCTCTCTACGAGATATAGTTTTAAAATCGCTGTCGACAATATTACACGCTCGATATTATCGATGGGCTTCGCCGTGTATCTGACGAGGTTTCCTCTACCTTTCAGGGACCACCAGGATTAGACGGCATGAAGGTGAGCGATCCACGGGATGTGACCCCGTTTTCACTATAGATTACTCCTTTTATTCGGACGCGCTCTCTATTTTCGCGTGTCTCCCTGTTCTCTCTCTCTCGTTCGCCGATAACGATCGGACATCGAAATTAGATCGAGTTTAGAGAAATTAGATCGCGCGTGTGTGTTCTCTTCCACTACTTTTCCGGCGTACGAGAGCGAGTCTAAGTGTCAAGCGCACGTCAAGTTTCTTCGTACTTTCAGGGTGCGCAGGGCGAGCCAGGAACGAAGGGCGAAAGAGGAGATCCGGGATTGCCTGTAAGTTCTACGCCTCATCAAGTATTTATTTCCGCCGTCGAATTCGATTCGTCTAACGCGTGATATCACCTGTGTGCCATATCGTTCATGTTTATCGAGCACGCTCGAGGTTTATTTCCCCCGAGAAAATCTTGCTCTTCATCAAAAGTTTTCTGCTTTAACGGATCCCGTAAGGCGCTCCATAATTTTTTTTTTTTTTTAATATAGTAACATTATGAAAAATCAATTTTCGCTCGTAGATTGTAAATACAACTAGTGATAGATAAAAAGGCCAACTTATCGAGCAATTATTAGAGTTGTTTTGTCAAATAAAATTTATTATACTGTCATACAAAAATTCCACATAATATCGAAAATTAAATGTTAGTTCTTCAATAAGAGTCGAGAATTTATAAGCAATTAAAGCGTAAAACATGAAAATATGGGAAATTATTAATTATTAATATAGAATTTTTTTGTTTCGTCTAAAGTCGATTTTTCAGTAACAAAACTTCGGCTGCCGGATAAGGCGCTCTGTACATTTTTTTTTAATATAGAAACGTTATTAAAATATGGGAAATTATTAATTATTAGTATAAGATTTTTTGTTTCGTCTAGAGTCGACTCTTCGAAATAATAAAATTTCGACTCCCGGATAAAAGTATCACACGCGTAAACGCGAATTTGCGGATCGTTTTTCGTCTTTCCGCGATTCAATTGAATTTCAATACCGCAATCCGTCGATCGTGATCTTTCAATCTGTATCTTCCATCGCTCGGTGATTCCCGAGGTCGTACTTGGGAATCGAAATCGAGTCGTGTCTGAGGAACGCGTCAAGTCAGCCCGCTGACTCGATTACATCTCTAGAGAGAGAGAGAGACACACGCTAACGAGTCGATCTGTGTTTGTCCCCAGGGTACCGACGGGATTCCCGGTGCGGAGGTACAGTTGGCTTTCGATTATCGCTCGTCCTCTGGCGCGACTGCGACACAATCTGACACGGTCTGACCAGGACCCGGGGTAACGACGACACATTCCGCCTGATCTACCCCGGGGACTGTCTCGAAAAAAGAAAAAAAAATAATATAATCGAAAAGAGAATCCTCCCTTTCACTCCCTCCGTCCAATTTCGAAGAGAACGGAGCCCCAGCGTCTTGCGCCTTTCTCCCTCTTTCGTTCGAAGTCCATTCTTTCGCACATTTTTTTTCTTGCTTTTCGTAATTTTCTTTCGTGTCGTGCAAGAGGCCTTCGTATGTATATATCTAGAGACGCGCATTTTTTTTTTTTTCAGATTTTTACATTATTAATTTTTATATATATTTTATATACCTTTCTGTACACTAAAAAATGTGTTAACTCGACCAAATTTTTCAATTAAATTACTATCTATTAATCAAACACATACTAGTATTAAACTCAAATATACGTTTTGTTAAATTTAATGTTATATTTAGTTTAAATAATTTTTTTATGTTTAATTACTAAAATAATATTTAGCTGAAAGGTTTAGTTAACAAACTTTTTCAATGTATCGTGAAGTATCGTTTGTAAAGAACGTCATTTACTTGTCACAATATTTTTGCGCGGGAAAATAATATCAGATGTGCGAGTAGTCGTTGACAGATTTAAGGTAGACATAAAAGGTTTTTGCGCAACTCCTTCGATATATATGTATATGTATAATTGAGCTTAGAGAGGGCTTGATCGCCCGATCAAAATTTACGGCCGAATTATAACGGAGGGAGAAACGCGCAACTCCCTCGTGCTTCTCTCTGGAGTGTCCGGAAGGATGCTCGAGCAGTGCTCGTGTGACCGCTCAATGCCGATGTGAGAGCATATAAAACGACTATCTCTCTCGCACTTTCACTCACTCACTCATTCGTATATACCCTCGAATGCATGGGAGGGTACTTGAAGGAGGATAATCCCTTTCACACGTCTGAACATATAACTATATTTCGCGGGTCGTAGCGCGATATTTCCGTCTTATTTAAAGCTTTTATACAACGCTTGTTCTTTTTTTTTTCTCCCTTTAAAAACAGAAAAATCTAAAAAGCATGCATACCTGTTCTCTCATGACATTAATATTACAGTTTCCGCGAATATTTTAATACAGATTGCAAACAGGATTAGTGTGTTTGAAGAAAAACTCGAGAAAGCTATATTAATATTTCATTAATATCCTCCTTTTACAAAAATTTGAACGTAATGCTTATGAAATAATTAAATTGAATTTTGCAACTAACACAATATCTCAGAATAGATTGCTATTATTATTAAAAAAAAACGGAGAATTATTAATCTCAGTCTCTCGCATCGCTGCTATTTATCGACCTTCCATATTCTCGCTTTATTAACGTCTCTCGTATCTCTCGTCGGAGGCAAGAGCAATAACCAAGTGATCTACTCAAAATACCCACCGCGGTTTCGGCCCGTGAATCGATAGCCATTCCCTTTCCCTCGATAGTCGACGTTGAATCGGTATACACGCGAAATCGTCGTAGTCACACGCGAGGCACCTTCGAGCCTCCTTCCATTGGAAAGATTTTCTGGAACGACCGTGGTATAAAAAAAAAGAAAAATTAATTACGCGGCCAAAACGACTTGAAAATTCCTTTTGTGACCGTGTTCACCAATTCCAGGGACCGAAGGGAGAGAAAGGTGCCAAAGGCGAATCTGTGAGTATTGACTTAATTCGACGTATTTCTCTCCAACGCTCTCCATCAGTATCGGAGAGCCGATCCACGTTGTATACATATATATATATATATATATATATATATATGTATATGTATATATATACACTGCCGCTCTTCTCCCGCGAGGATGCGAAAGCGATCGGGCGTGATTAGATCGTCTCGTATGCTTTACGGGGGATTGTTTGCCCAACGATAACCGACAGACCGTAAGGGAGAGAGAGAGCAAACGCGTAGTCGGATATGTACGGCTCGCTTCCTAACGGATATATAATCATACGCACGTCCTGGCGAGTTAGCCGAGGAAGCTCTCTCGCGAGGCATTAGTCGATTGGTTTATCTTCGCTACGGGCTAAAATCACCGGGAGATCGGACTAACGATCTGCGCAGAGAGACGAAATTAATTACCATCATTAACTCCGGGAAATTTCGTTGCGCTATTGAATTTTTTAAAATTTCTAGGCCTGAAACGCGAGGAATCGACGCAAGAGTATATATATTTTACGCGCATAAATTTTCGGGACGATCGAATCAAGGCAACCCTTTCGCATCCTCGCGCCCCATCTTTTATTCACGACCATTGCTACAAGCACGTCGGGGACACCGCTGTCGTCGTCGTCGTCGTCGTTTACGACGAGGAGACTGCGAGATCACGCAGTACAAGGTCACACGGAGATATAACGAAGGAAGCTCTCTCTCGTTGTGGCAAACACGGGGAGAACGTCCTCGCACGCGTTATATAATACACGCGTCTCTACCCTTACCAAGCTCCACGCGGTCCCTTCGCGAGGCTAACACACTTTGCGCGAATTTGTATACATGTATATGCTGCCACCACCGTTCCGCGAAAGCGCATTATGACGAGAGGCGCGAATTAATATTAATTAGAGGAACCATTAGATGCTCGAGTAAACGAAGCGCCAAACGAGAGCGCGTCGTTAAATATAATATAATTTCTCCGCGAGATCGTCTTCGAAATTGTCCGTCTATGACAAAAGAGATAATTCGGAGATCGTATACAGAGCGAGCATCCTCGAGAATGGATTTGTAAAAGCCCTCTCTCTCTCTTGCCTAATGAACAATTTAAAGTCCAATTAATTGAAAGGGCGACACGCTCTCCTCCGCACTTCGTACTCGTCGAGGTATTGTGCACCGATCTCTCACCAGCAGTACTAGTATAATTGCATAATCCAACAATATTATGTGCCTGGCCTTATTTGCACGTCGCGAATTTGCATCGGGCGTTTCGCGCTGTCAGAGAGATGATGCATTTCGCGTGTGCGCGCAGGGGCCGCCGGGTAAACGCGGCAGGAAGGGCGACAAGGGCAACAAGGGGGACCAGGGTGTGCCAGGATTGGACGCGCCGTGTCCGCTGGGACCAGACGGGCTTCCTTTACCGGGTTGCGGCTGGAGACCACCGCAGGTAACCGATAATTTTGTCTCTCATTTTCGGGCTTTGCGGGCTAAACAGATTTCAAGGAATCTATGTAACGTTCAGAATTATGCTGCGATACAAGTTAATTAACAAAAGATGTATAAAAACAAGCTTTTCTACTCATCCACAATCATCTTCTTTCTTTCAACGATATAGTTGTAAGCAGAGAGAATTTTCTCTTAGAGTTTATTCTGAAAATCGTGGAACGATATATGTTGATATTGGAAGAATTTTGTAAGTTTCTCTGCTTAAATATTTACCACAATAAAAAAAATATTATGTACAATATTGTATGTGCATAGTAAACCTAATATTATTGTGGTAGAAATTTAATCATAAAGTAATTCTTCCGAATTACATTGCGATAGAAAGTAACCAAAAGTGTATAAAAAAAAAGCTTTTCTACTGATCCACAAGTTTCTTTTTTTCAATGATAGTTATAAGCAAAAAGAGTATTCTCTTAGAATTTATCCTAACAATCGTGGGACAATATGTTGATACTGGAAGAATTTTGTAAGAGTTTCTTTGATTAAAACAACAAATCTAAACACGGCTTATAGGGCCAAGCGCAAGGTGTAGGAGCGCAACAAAAATAACACAATACTTTGTACTATAAACAAGTTTATTCAGAATAAACGTTTCGGTCCTTTCTTTGGACCATCTTCGGTATAATAGAAACGTACAAGCTATGACAAAGAAACTGTCACTGTACGTTTCTATTATACTGAAGATGGTCCAAAGAAAGGACCGAAAGCTTTATACTGAATAAACTTGTTTATATAGTACAAGGTTTTGTGTTATTTTTGTTGCGCTCCTACACCTTGCGCTTGGGTCTATAAGCCGTGTTTAGATTTGTTTTGTTTTAATTAAAGAGCTTTAATAGCTAAGATTATTTTCTTTGATTAAATATTTACCACAATAAAAAAATATTATGTACAATATTATATGTGCATAGTAAAATTAATCAAACATATTTTATATCTTAGTGTGGTAGATATTTAATCATAGAGAAACCCTTATAAAATTCTTCCAATATTGTCTCACGATTAACAAAATTTTCAGGATAAACTCTAAGAAAAAAATTCTTTCTATGTAAAATAGATAATTTGATCAAATTAACAAAATTGTTTTCACACAACAGATAGAGTTCCATTTAGAATAATCGCCAATATTATATATATTTTACGAGATTTCTAATATATAAAAATCGAATGTGCTAATAATAATCATTAATAGACCTTCTATGTGAAATTTGGTGAAATTGGGATACTAACGAAATCCGCGTCTATCTAGAAACTAATAATCCAATAACTAAACACGCGTTATATCGTGCGAGAGGGATGAAAGGGGAAAAAACGGGGTACGCTTGGATTCTCTCTTGTGTGTGCTTAGCAGGATATTACGAGCACATCCACGCCGGCGATCGAGGGTCCTGAACCCGCGGAGACGGATTACGAGGAACCGGAGGACGAGTACGAGGACTATAATACGGACCCGAACGGGAATCTAGCCGAGCAATAATGCTCGTTTTTGTGCGCTGCCCTAATCACTACCGACAACCAGCACCAACACCAACACCATCACCACCACCACCACCACCACCGCCACCCTCATCACTCGTCTCACCCCGTCCTCCCAAACTAACGTGGTCCCCGGTAATTGCGAATCCCGTAGTAATACTAACGCACGCATATGTGTCATGACAGCTCGATCTCGTGAATATATATAGAGTCTCGCTTGCATTCGCCGCACGAATTTCTGACGCATCATACCTATATTGGCTGCAATCTCTGATACAAAATAATATATTGCATTATACGTATTTAATGTCATGAAAAAAATTAATTCAGTTTTAGCTGTCTCTATATTACAACTTGAAATTTATCATGTCTAAATTTCAACTATAGCAACTAATATTTTTTAGCTATAGTTTAACAAAGAATTTTATAGTTAAAAATATTAGCTAAAGTTTAGGCCTGCTAACTAAACTTCATGTGTAATATAGGACAGTTAAAAGTTATGATGGTTAATTTTTTTCCTGTAGCAAACTTTATCGGATAAAATTGCCAGAATTTCTTGCGTAGATCTGTTCCTTTACGTGTATATCAATATCAATCGCGTTCGCGATTTTCTATTTGCTATATTGATGCACTTATAAAGTCCTGCACTTACCTTTAGAATAAAAAATATTTTACATCTCTCTTAGAAAATTGTATAGTATACAAGTGCATGTATAATTATTCGTAGCATGTAAATTTTTATTTTCTATCACGGAAAAAAGAATTAGCTACTATAGCTAAATTGTAGCTGTCTCTATGAAATTTATATCATGCTAAATAAATTTGTTAACTATAATAACTAATATTTTTTAGCTGCAGAATTCTCCGTTAAATTGTATAGCTAAAAATATTAGTTGCCATATAGCTAAAAATGCATGATAACTAAATTTCAAGTTACAATATAAGGACAATTAATATTTAGCCATGGTAACTAATTTTTTCCATGTATAGATATCTTTTTATAATACGAAATTATGATAGAAGAGATTAAACAAGTTTTCAATGAAAAAGAAATTAGACGAGAATATCACGCAAGCATGAAAATATAATTTTTCAAATTTATCGCTTATCTATCATTCATTCCCGCTCGCTCGTTTTTTCCTTTCGTGTACCGATTTATCCCTAAAGCTAACTAAAAATTCTCGATAAGATTTCACGCGAAATCTAATGCAGCTTCTGCGTGTCTTGCGTATATCGATTGGACGCATCGAGATGATTCCAGCAGATTTGCTTGCGAAAATATACGACCTAAATTTACAAAACTGTCAATCAAACCCTATCTTTATGTTTTGCTTTGCAGCCAAGGAATAACATCCTACGCCAATGGCTGGAAGAAGAGGAGCTGGAAGAGGAGGAGATGAACGACGAGCGGCAGTGATGTTGCAAGGACAATAGCGCATTTTTTCATAAGGACTACTGTACATCCTCCTGATCCCGCCTCCGTCTGATTACGACGACCGCGTTACGCGAAAAAAAAAATGAAATATATATATATATATATATATATATATATATATATATATATACCAAAATAATCATCTTGCCATCGAGTGTTGTAAATATGTGTACTTACAGTGTCTAGCGTCCGCAGTGCGTGTACATAATTAGAGCTTGCTGCGAATCTACGTATCCCGACAACCATCGTCGTCGGTTCATATATACGGTTTACCTAGAAACGTCACACACAAAAAAAAAGTATACGGCGATCGATCCGCGCGATCGATACTTCCGGATCCGCAAGTACGCAGCTCGCCCGCGTGAAAGAGAAGAAAAAGGGAAAATTTCCAACCCTGGTTGCGGAGAGATATATTGGAGTAAGAGCGGACAAAGTAATCCCGGAAAATTAAAGTGAAGTGCGCGAAAGGACGTTTCGTGGTCGAGCGTGATGGTGCGATGGTTCGGGAGGAAACGCATTCGCTTGTATCGAGTACTCGATGTTTCCATGCGAAATGAATTCTGCGACCGAAGGACATTCACCGCGGATTTGTCGAACGAGCGATTCGATATGATGCAGACGAGGAAGGAGAAAAAAAATTGTGCCGAAGAGTTAGCTCCTATAGTCGCGACCTGAAGTGACGAAAGTTTCGAAAATTTTCTTCCTCGCAAATATATTTCGTACGAGAATTTTCCTTGTATCTGCACTGAAAAAAAAAAACTCACCAACTTGACTAAAACCTTTCAACTAAATTACTATATTGTTAATTGAACATATATTAGTATTTAAGTCGAATGTACGTTTTCTTAGATTTACTATCTATGTTAGATTTAATTTAAATATTTTTAGTTCAAGTTAACAATTTTTTTTTTCAGTGCGTTATCGTCTCGTTTGACATTTGGAAATATGTATTTTATATGTGGATACTTTTGAGAAAATTTTGTAAAAAAAATTTGTAAAATTCTTTCGCAATTTCGCAATATTCTCGCGATTCTCCCGTCATCAAGTCGCCTCTTGGCTAATCCTGAGCAAAAAGACGTACGCTAATCCGTACCTGTGAAAAAGAAAAACGATCTTCGCCGTAGACAGAACCGTAGACTCGCGAAGCGAGAGACACTTTTTGATACGACTATAGTTGATTAGCGGCGCGCCATCCCCGCGTTAAATCCTGTCTAGATTATTATATAGACTCTCGTACTACGTACTACGCTAGTTGTGTAACGCAAGAAAAGAAAAGTAAAGTAACGACTGCATATACGCTTTGGCGATACTTGCGAGGTATCGCAAAATAAATCGGTGAGTGCATATCTTTCTCGATGTCAGAAATACCAGGACGCCGCGTCGAGCTCCGTTCTTCCCTTTATCTCTCTCCTTTTTCTCTCTTTCGAGCGTTTGTAAGTCCATTCCCCTGACACGCAAATATTTTCCGTACGTCAAAACGATGTCGCTCATAAAAAAGAAAAAGGAAGAAGAAAAAAAAACGAAAAAGATAAAAGTGGCAGGGCCGAGGTGTAGTCCGTTGCAATATCGACAGTCAGACGCTACGTTCGACAGACGTGTGCAGAGAGCCGACTTATCTCCGGCACATTGATCTTCCGTTCAAACAGCGTGAAATACAAACGTCATATTCGCGTTTTCTTCTGAAGAAATGTATATTTAGCGAGCGCTGCGTGTACCGTCAGTTAAATTTCTCAGAGTCGGCAGGTTTTTTTCATTAACAATGTCTTCAATTATACTTATATAGTAATCCAATAATCTTGGATATTTTGTAAAAAAAATCTGTCTTCTAGACTTTATTTCTTTAGATACAAATGACAGATAGTATTTTCAGAAATGGCTCTGCTGGAGCCCTTTCTTTAATTTTGACTTAATGTAATATATAAAAAGTAATCTGGGACATTCCTCATCGCAGCGATATTTATTATTTATCACTTCGCTATCATTATAATTTCAACAGTTTATATTTCGCAAAATACGATTGCACCTTGTTCTTGGGATAGGGCTTCGTTACCAAACACGTCGCGGTGTTTTCAGGCTGTTCTATCCACAGCTTGTGCTGAATGTCGGCTGCCTTCAATTCCGAACTCAGCGTCTTCAGATCGGCTTCATCGGCGGCCTATTTTATCATCGTTTTTTTTTAAGCGATTTATATTTCGATACATTTAAGCGAATCTCATGTCTTACGACTAAGTGCTGATAGATATGAAGTTTAGAACAATTCTCTTCGCATGCATTATATGACATGTTTGAACGGAGCTCGCAGTGTTCCCGAATCGTGTCATACTTACATCGAGAACGACTTTATGCATAGAGTCTAAATCGGCGAGATAGGCCTGCGTGTGGACGTCATTGTAAAAGAGATGTGTAACAGCAGTACACGCGTGACACGCCTGGGCAATCACGGCACCCAATGGCCACCTAAGCTTCCTTGACAGATCTCCCCGCAGCACCACGTATTGAACTATCACCTCTGACATTCTGAGAAAGATTGCCTAAGGATCGTTTCACATCAATGTTTTTTTTGAGGTAAAACACGGACTTTGTGGAAATACGAGCGAGGAGAAAGGAGGATTTTTTTTCTAGGATCGTTTGTCTAATGCTTAAGATGGTCCGTAACAGGTTTCGATTAATTAGTAAGTGCCAAAAAGTATATTATTATTCGTACAGATAAGGATATACCGCACACACAGACACGTACACACAAATACGGATACTTCCGCGTATTATTTATGTATATCAAAAATTGTATTATTCTTGCCCCTTGCAAATCACGCATAGAAACGCGTCCGCTATAAGCGGTCCTTCGATGTTGCGGCATACGCAAGATGTATTATTTATACAAATTGTTGTTATTATTAAAGATAAATAACGCAGAAATAATTAGCATATAAGATACATTATGGTTTACGAGAAACGACGTCTTTATTCATTCCCAATTCCCCAAGACCCGCATCAAAAAATATTATAATTTATTATAATTCGTTTATGCCAATCTATTTTTTATTATTTTTTGTGCGAAAAGTAATAATTATATGGTATGCGTGATGCATATATATGGATGAGACAATTGTTATAAATAGGAACGTGAAAAAAGGACACAAATTTTAACATGAAACATTTGTTCATGTATATATAATATATAATTGTCAGACAAGCTTACCTTGTCTCGTTTAATGATAATTTCAAATAACGACTATCTGAATATAGTCACAACCATTTGTCGAGAGGTTAACTTTCTAAAACAGACAAATATAACAATTCTACAAATTTACAATTACGAAACTTGATAAATTCCAGAATAAATAAATTACAATCTAACCTGATCTGTGTATACAATCCAGTATACTTGATTAAATGCGAGATAAAGGTGTTTCGAATTATCCACGCAGATCCATCACAACATTTTCATCCAGCCGGCAGATAAACATCAGGTTGGCCACCCTTTAAAAAATTCATTCCCCAGTTCCTCCGAAGCTAGAAAATTTATCGTCCTCACGTTTCCAATGCGTGAAACAGTAACTGTCAAAATTCTCTAGCGATCAGCTGAGCGTCAAATGACAGCCGCCAGATGTCGCGACGACCTCGACGCCTGTCGGACTTTGTACTTCGTCTTCTATTATACATGTAGCGGTCGATATCAAAAGAGAATCTAGCCACGAAATAAAACTGGACGCCGGTTAGTTCCCATTTCTTCCCCGTCGTTGTTGCGTCTCTCGTCCATTGTGGGCCAGGATTTTCAGCGAGGAAACTAATCAAGGTAATTCTTATTCGCCCTATTCGTTCCTTCGAACTATTTTTTGTCTTTCCAACAATTCACGATCGAAATCAATTGCGTTTGCATTAACAAATGACGCGCCGGGAAAATCCCTTTCTTTATACAGTTTTTTTTTTATCGTCGCCGCGACGATTTCTGAAACCGAGGGGACGCGAACTTTGTCGGATGACGTCCTAACGTCCAATTATTACGTGGCAACGCACGAAGGAGTCGTAAAAATAAATTATATAATTTGCAAGTTTTGCCAATTCGCGCGAACAGCGCAATTTTGCGACTCCCTTTGCTCTATTTCACAAGAATGAAGGTCAACTCGGAAGAGTGAGCGAGAAGGAGAAACAGAGAGAATTCGAGAACTTCCGACGAGTCGCGTTATTATGTCGGTGAATGTAACGAACCTCAAATCGTGCGGTTTATACTAATCAAGAATCAAGGGATCGTCATGCGATTACGTCCTCACAGAAATAACGCAGAATTTTTTCATTCTTTTCTGTAGCGAAGTTGAAATAACATCAGAAAAAATGTGAATAAATTATGCATATTTGTACCACACATTTTACATAAAATATTGGAAACGAAAACTGAAGAGAAATATAATTATAGCATTATAATACATTTATTTTTTTTTATAATCCAAATTATTATATATGTAAAAAAAATCTTAACAGAAGATCAAATTATTACGTATGTAAAAAAACCTTAAGAAAAGATCTAATTATTACATATATAAAAATCTAATTATTACATATATAAAAATCTCAACTCATATTTTTATGCATATATGTAATAATTGGATTTTTTACATATGTAATAATTGGATTATAAAAAACAATAAAATAATATGCTATTTATGCAAGATCTCTTCTGAAAATTTATTAATATATTATATTAATGTATAAAATTCTTTTTTTCTATTAAATATTTTTATATTTACATGAAATAATTATAGAAAAAAGGTATAAGATACACACATTTTATCCGGAAATGATATCAAATTATTTAGAGACGAAGTTCCGCGTTCCACTGTCATTGCGCGAATTAATGCAATGGGATATTGACTCATTTAGCGCGCGAAGATTATCATTTACACTTACACACATTACGTATACATTTATGCGCAGTAAATTCTGAGTTAATGTTATACGAATTATCGAGCAATAATTACGAGTAAATTAGCCATGTTGTGTTTCATAAATATTGAAAATATTCCTTTATTGTCGTTTGAATCGAAATCTGAACACGAATCTTAACACATACCGAAGGACATAACATAAATACAAAACAAGACAAGATAATACAAACCAAATTTGAAAAGCGATAATCTGTGGTTTTGTATTAAATACGATATTTGTTGTATATTCTTAAAAATATTAATAACAGTTAAACGTTATTATTGTTTTTAAGTGAAAAAGAAAAAATACAAGATCACTTCTTTTACACTAATATAAGTGCGGCTATTACGAACTTGAAATAGAGTCTGTAACAAAGGAAACTGCTTCACTTAGACGCGAGGTCGTTTGTGATACTACTTTTGTACGACTTTTCAGTACAGACGAAGCTTGTCCTTATATGAGATTCCTTTGTATCTAGCTCTCTCTCCTTTTACCAAGAAATCTTTTCGAAATAGAACACCTTTCGCCTTTTATAGTTCTTTTGACCGTTGCACAATCTGAAATTTCACCTGGTCCTTGCTCCAGTTTAACTGATCCCCTTGCTTCTTTTTACTCATTTCGCCGAGAGATCTTTTCCTGCGAGAGAAAATAAATTATTTTTAATATAAAACGCGTTATTTAAATATTCTTGAAATTTACACATTAAGTTCTATTAATTTTCGATATTTATGATAATTTTTGATAAAAATAGGATACAAATTTTAATTAAAAAATTGGCGCAGTAAATTTGCTAAAACTATATCGCTGATTTCAAATAAATCCATACACGAGATATTAAAGATGTTAAAATAAAATGTTCATAATTCCCTTACAGTTCACTTTGAAATATATATATATATATATATATATATATATATATAATTTTTTATTAAAATTCATATTATCTTTATTAATTATAAATTTGATAACTCTTCTCATTCCAAATATAAACATGCAGTTCTCTCTGACATTTCTATATGCGTCACTAAATTTTTTTCGCTCAAATTATTCATGCTCCATTCCATTTTATGTCGCGATTAATATTTCATATTTATTGGCTTACCATTTAAATAAGATAACAGCGAACACACAAGGACTTTTACATAAGTTATCGCTGAATAAATGTTTAGTTTAGCATTCTTGGTCAAGTGTTTAGCGTGTGCAAATCTACTCAATGCTAAGTATTGATTTAATATTGCCGATTATGAAATTAACTGATTGTTATATGTTTTCTATTGACACGAAATACATGATATATTTCCGTTAGTTTTTCGTAGAAAAATTAATCTTACAGAAAAATTGCAAATATTCCACGTTCAAGATCGTTTCGCAGAAACAGACCACAAAGATGTTATTCATATGCAAATTTTGTGTGTATTAGCTTCGCGATAACATCGCATTTATATTATCACGTGAAAACATGTGCGCAGAAAAATTCACAATTAGTGATTTTTTGGAAAAAATATATTGTAAAATTTGTAAGAAAATTGTTAAATTTATTTATTGTATATTTGTATATTTGTAATTATAGCAAATCAAAAAACAGCAGCCATGCCTCAGATTCAAAAACCAGCTCCTGCTTTCTCTGGTACCGCTGTTGTAAACGGACAATTCAAGGAAATTAATCTCTCCGACTACAAAGGCAAATATGTTGTGCTCTTCTTCTACCCGTTAGACTTGTAAGTATTACAAATTACTTTCGTAGATATAAGAGGATTACATAATTCTCGACTGCTATATAAAAAGTTCTATTGTATTGTGCTTAATGTAATATATAAACCAAATATGTTTAACTCTTAACAGAAGAGATTTAAAACAGAGATATCTGTACATCGTGCATTTTATAAGATTACGTTTATAAAAACAGATGTATGTTTTAAAACTTTATTCTATTATAGCTATTACAGCATTATAAACATTTAAAACATTATTATATTATATATTTTTTCTAATTAGTTGATACAAAAATTTTTAATAAAGAAATATGATGTATATATTTGAATTTTAAGACATAAAATCTTAAAAGCACATAACGCCTAATTTTTCTTAAAAATTCCGTATAAATATGAAATAGCCAGAAAGTTATAGAGATCAGATCGATTAAAATTGATATAATCGTTTGATTGTAGCACTTTTGTATGCCCAACCGAGATCATTGCTTTCTCCGATCGCGTGAAAGAGTTCAGCGACATCAATTGTGCAGTGATAGCTGCATCCACCGATTCTCAGTTTAGCCATCTCGCATGGGTGAATACACCTCGCAAACAGGGTGGTCTCGGCGAGATGAATATTCCTCTGTTGGCAGACAAGAGCAGCAAGATTGCCCGCGATTACGGTGTACTCGACGAGGATTCGGGAATTCCCTTCCGCGGTCTTTTCATCATCGATAGCAAGCAGATTTTGCGTCAAATCACTGTCAACGATTTGCCTGTCGGAAGGTAAAGCTCTCGCATGATTATTAATATCAATGAATCTACAGAAGCTCACTTTGTGAGAATTCAAGCAAGTTTGGCATTTTTATTTAATTCGTTGACAAAAATGAATGTACTAATTTATTTAATGATCGTGTGACTTTTGATAACATTGAATGCAAACTTTATTCTCAGCCAGTAATCTTATCGCCTTTATTAATTGCAGGTCCGTGGACGAAACTCTACGCTTGGTTCAAGCGTTCCAATACACCGACACACACGGCGAAGTGTGCCCTGCTGGCTGGAAACCCGGCAAGAAAGCCATGAAGCCCGACGTCATTGGATCAAAGGAATACTTCAAGGATCAATAAAATATCAATAGACAATAAAATGTTTCTTCATACATCCTATTAAATATATTTATGTGTGTGCGTTTTATACTCTCCACGCGTAATTTGGCAAATTTGACGCGTCCACACTTCCATTTTTACTTAACAATTAAGTACAATTATCAAAATATACATTAAAACATGTATTTTAATTTAATAAATGGGTTTATTTTCTACACATGTTTCAAAAAATATTGAACCATTCCATATAACGTTTAAATTAAAGCATTATACATATATAAAACTGCACGTATTTAGCGATATAAATCAACCGTTATAATGAATGTTGATGCGATTAGAAAACACTTGACAATAAGCTTAGCAGAAATTTTAATATCGAACGATCAAAATGATATCAATCTACGCGAAATTCAATCGTCAGAAATGTCATCTTATATTCAATGTGTTTTAGCAGTTGTAATTATCAGTATATATTTCTTTTTTTTTATCTTTACATATAATATTCTAGTTTAAAGATTTTTGTCAACGGTTCTCGAGCAGATTTTCAAACAAATTACTTTTGTTTTCAATATTTATTTAATAATCTATTTTCCTGAAAATTATCTGCTAGTTTGTGATAAAGTCGTTATTATTCTTCCATGTGATATGAATGACAATTGCGAAACTATAATAACTGAAACAGGTAAGAATTGAAATTTGACAAAATTGCATTCTTCTCTAGGTAGAAAATATTTATCATATAAAAACACGTCGCACGTTACATCGATACATAATATATATAATATATTAATTTCAGAAGCAAAGTTTTTTAATTTATGCAAGTATATGAATATCTATAAATACAATTATCCATTTTAAATTTAATAAATTTAATGCAGGATGGGGTATTTGGCATTACTTTGTCGTTACATTATGCGGCTTGCTATCATTCGCAGAAGCAAATACTTCCCTGACTATACCCATCGTGGCACCGCTAATAGAGTGTGATCTAAAGCTTAATAGAGATCAGGTCGCCTTGCTTGTTGCTACTTCCAGTTTTGGTATTTCTAACAAAAAATATATCTGTGTTACCGAACATTGAAATATCAATTAAATTATCCGATTAAAATATTTTTATGCGCATATACAAATTGAGGAAGAAAATATTTATAAAATATATTGTAATAGATGATATCTCACGCAGAATTTATTTCACAAATATATTCATAAATTTACATTGAAGCGTATATTAGTTTGTTACGTGTTATTACATATTTAATTTATTGTGTATTTATATTGCGTAGGGATGGCAGTAGGTGCTTTCCTGTTTGGATCTATATCGGACACTATCGGTCGTAAAAAATCGATCCCGATTACGATGGGCATCGTGTTTTGCGCCTCGATTGCCCTGGCCTTTGCGCAAACTAATTTTTTAATATATTTATCAATATTTATGTTAGGACTGGGGTAAATATCTTTCTTTTGTATCGCGAATAAAGCCGAATATAATCACAATAAAATTGTTATACGTTTCATAGGATATTTTTTAAAATTGCATCCTTTATTATTATATATAACTGATTTTATATATTTATCATTTTCATTACAAGAAATAATTCTTAAATATTTTAATAAAAAAAAATATATTACTTCTTTTTTTACAATTATATTTGAAAAAACAAAGACAGTTTTTTTAGGCAAAGATACATAATACATATGCGTTTATATATTGTCACATGACATTGAAACTGCGTATTCATTCAATTCATGTATGGATAGTAATGCGTCATCATCTGACGTATACAACTGATTATTCACAGAGTGGCTGGTAACAATATCGTCCTCAGAGTGTACCTGATCGAATGCCTACCGACGAGAAAGAGAGGAACTTGCTTAGCAATAATCGACATGTTCTGGATAGTCGGCTACCTATCAGCTTTAGGTAAGCGAATGTGTGATTTTGCAAGAAAAAATATTTTTAAATATAATTTTAAATATAATTAAAAATAATATTATTTTAATATAATATATTAATATTATTTTATTAATAATTTTATCATTAATAATATTTTATATTAAATAATATTCGTCGATTTGATTGTAATGTAAAATTCATTATTTTGTCTTAATAAGCATTTTTAATTCTTTATACCAAAATTACATTTCTAATTTTTTAATTAAAACTTCATAAAATGTCAGATTTTTTAAATGCATTTTTCGTGCTTGCAAAAAATAAAATAAAATTAATTAGTTTGTGAACATGATTAGAAATTGCTCTTATTTTATTTTATGAAAATTTAGAAGTCTATTTAAAAAATATATAATCTTAAAAATAATAATCTTAATAAATCTAATGAATTTATCTTTATCTATGTTGGAGTGCATGCGTGTTGGAGTACATTTTTATTTTAAAAATTAAACACCAGGCAGATTATTTGATTATTTTAATTATATGTGTGCGTATGTGTGACACTCGACGTCATAATGAATTAATTGAATAATTAAAATAATTAAGGATCAATCATTTTAACTTTGGACGAGTTTGAGTGCATCTTTATTAATAATTAAATACCAGCTTGATTACTTAATTATCTCAATTAATTATATCATATGCGTATATGTTTTTAATTTTTTAATTAAATTTATATATTTCTATATCTAAATAGCACAATTTTTATTTTTGACGTTGAGTCGATTTCAATCGATACATGCGAGTGCATTTCGATACATTCGAGAATCGACTTAACAGACCTTTTTTATGTAAGGGATTTATGTTTATTTATATTTATTTCCGTTTTGTCCCCAGTTTAAATTTATTTAAATCCTGGATTAAATTTCAATGTCTTAACTAATATTTGTATTTACTTTTAATTTTTGACTAATTTATCATACTGTTATGGCTATTTATATTTGTCTTTATATATTGCGCTGAAGAGGTACCAAAGAAGGGTTCAAAACGTCCATTTTGTAGTTTGATTTGAATATGAAATAAAATTTATCGCGCTTCAAATAACTACACTGGCTCCTAATATTTTCTAGAGGAACCTAAGTTGACTTTTATTTTATTAAAATAAATAGATTTAATTTAATAAATTTAAAATTTTTTTACAAAATTATTAATATGATATTTATGAAAAATTGATATGATATTTATGTTTGTTTGATGAACAATTCGAGAAGGCGTCTCCTGGTCCTTGATACCGTCCGTTCTACGCATGCTAGACAGGCAATTTCGAACGAGTTCCTGGCGAGTCCTCGCCGCTCTCTTCGGCACGCCGAGCCTGGTGATCGCTTGCGCCTCTGGTCTCCTTCCGCCGAGTCCTCGACATTTGTTGTACCGTAGACGAACGAGACAAGCATTCGCGGTACTCCGACAGATGTACGCCATCAATAATTCGAAACACGCCGATACCTACCCGGTACGGCGTTCCAATACGACTCCGTCTCGAGAATCTTGTTCTTTCCTTGCCCGTTCAAATCTTGGTCCGCTATCCATAAGTTCTGGAAGATCCGTGATAGAAAATATCGAATCGATTCGAGAAAGTATGTTTGAAAAAAAATATATTTCCCTTCGCGTGAAAAAAGAAATGAAAAGAGCGCATGGATAGCAATTAAATGCAAGGTAAAACTTGATGATCCGAAATTAATTAATCATAGTCATGAAAAAACAATATTTGTATTTAATTTAAAAAAGAATAAACATTTTCTGTATTTTTAATTTAGATCAGGGACTTAGAAGACTGCGTACGTCCAGACGACGATACCGAAGAAGACAGTATTTCAAAGTACTTTAGGAAAACTTGGGAACGCATTCACAGAATCCATAAGACTCCGTATAAGTGCGTGACACTGTGCGGGATATTAGCGTGTCTCCTACATTTTCCCGGGTAATAAAGGAAGCTTTTCTCCGTAAGCCTTCTCGCATCTCTCGGTATCACTCCGACCACTGTTCTCGCACGATTGCGAAGAGAATCACGAGGAGACGATGTTTAAGATTCGCTTGGCTCGCTCTGTGGAATACGCACGTGCTTCAGGAAACGGAAAGAGACCATGTCGTGAGTGGAAACGATACGTGTAAAGTCCATGTCCAGAACCTGCCATTAGATTTTTTGCGAAGCTGCGACGAGGTGAACGAGACTCGTTTCGGCCTGCTGTTGCTGGTATCGCTGGGCTACGTGCTGGGAGAAATGTTGCTCATTATCGGAATCGGCGCCGTTGGAAGGAAACTGTATTTAAGTAAGCTCTTAAGAACTTTCTCTCTCTCTCTCTTTGTTCTATGCAATTATTAAAAAAAATATATTATTATATAAATTATATATATATTAATAATTTTATTATCTAATTATATATTAATTCACTCACTCCAAATAAAGCGATACACTTAAAATTTGGAAAAATCACCAAATTTCAAATGACGATAACTTTGTAAATAATAAAGATAGAAAGGTTTTTAAAAAATAAAAATAAAGCTTGGAATCTCTACTTTAAGAATCTATTTATTTCAATGTGACGAGATAAATTTATTAAAAATGGCGGATGATAAAACGAAAACATGCAAAATTGACAAATAATGATCCGAGTTTGCCAAGGTACATGGCAAGAAGCAAATGTCAAAACTTAATGAGATAAAAAGTATATGATAGTACAGAATCTCTCCTTTAAAATGCTTTTTTATTCATTTCGATACGATGATTTTTCGCCGAGATATTCGCATTTGAATAAAAAAGCAGCATTTTACTTTAAATACGAATAACTCTGCGAAAAGTCATCATATTGAGATGAACAAAAAAGCATTGTAAAGGGGAGATTCTGTACTATCATATACTGTTTATCTCATTGTGTTTTGACATTTGATTCATGCCATGTGCCTTGGAAAACTCGGATCATTATTTTTCAATTTTACATATTTTCGTTTTATCATCCGCCATTTTTAATAAATTTATCTCGCCACATTGAAATAAATAGATTCTTAAAGTAGAGATTCCAAGCTTTACTTTCATTTTCTAGAAACCTTTCTATCTTTATTATTTACAAAGTTATCGTCATTTGAAATTTGGTGATTTTTCCAAATTTTAAGTGTATCGCTATTTTGGAGTGAGCGTATTAAAAGATATATAATTTTAATTTATAATATATTGAAAGAATCTTTTTCTGGATATGTTTATAGTATCTTCGGGACTGGTGGGTGGTGTAGTCTCGCTCATACTTATTTTTCGGCTGTACCACACAATTCGTGTAATTCTGTCGTCGATTTTCTTGGCCGCTTACGCTATCGGACGCACGACGACGTGCGTTTTGCTGCTGGAGAATTATCCCACTGCTTTGAGGTAGAAAAAAAGAATGATCAATATACAATTGGCTAATCTTAGATCATCAGACGCATTTTCGTAAATCAGTATCTGCAAACGCGACGTACAAACTCGTATAATTTTAGACGTTGGTTTTTTCAGAGGCACGGCAATGGGCTTGACAAGAGTGCTTCCACATTTGATGCTTTTCGCAACGCAACTTTTCCTAAGGACGACTTGCCTGATAAGTATAATCGTTGCGTCTGTTATCTTAATGGGTACGAAAGAAATTACTATATTATTTGTTTGATTAATCATCAATTAAATATCAAACATCTGGCAGGTGCGGCTATTGTAATGCTGCCAGTGCCAGATTTAACCACGTTACCGATGAAGGAATAAGTCAAACTTCCGGCTACGTATACATGATGATTTATTTTCCACGCAATTGTATTTTTCACGAATAAAATTTTATTTTAAGCTTGCATTTCTTTTTCAAAAAAGATTTGTCAAATTTAAAACATCAATTTAATATTCCGTTTATATACTACGTATATATATATATTTACAATTTTTTTTCATTTCATAATAAAGACGCGATTTCTAAGATCTATACTCCTGCGGTTGCTGGTTTTTTCCAGCATCGAAAAATATCGTAATGGCGAAAGTAGCATGACGAGCTTTATGATCGGTAGCGTCATTCCGCGACGCTTATAAATAAGGGCCGAACGGACGCGTCTTCCCGCCGCCTTTCCGTCTATTTTCGAGACGGGAACAGGAAGAAAGCTCGACGCGGACGAGCGAATAGTCGCGCATGCCCGACTCTCGCCTCGACGGCGTCGCGACGCACCTCTGCATCTCGTATGTATATATCCTCTAAATACGTACACACGCGCACACGCGTCGTTTGTATCCGTCGTGGATACTAACGGCGAATGCTCGTCACCGAAAATAATCGCGCACTATCGCCGAAGTCTCGAAACGCGCGGCGTCCGACGAGCTTTTCTCGAGTTTTCGTCGCGAAGAAGCGACCTCCCGAGGTCACGCGAGCGGATTCACTTCGTCGAGGCCGAATCTCGTGAGAATCAATCTCGATCGATCGTTCCAAATATTAATTTTTGCTGCGATTTCAAAGAGCGATCGAATATAAAATATAAAGTCTTTTTTACCGTGAATATAATTGTGCGATCGACTTATTGTTAGAAAAGCGCTCTGTCGAAAAAAAGAATCTTTTCTAGTATTATATAGTAATGGTGGTGGATGTGGTGTAAAATAATAGATTTAAACTTGCATTTAAAAAATAGATTCTGCTACAAAATGTATTTTTTTATTTAATGAAAGTTAAAAGTAAAAACAATTCAAATCTCATTTTCTCTTTCATATCTGAATAAAGCGAGATGAATGAAATTTGAGTGGATGGTAACAAAGAAATTGTGCTCCCCTAAGAAAGTTCTGATTTTTATATAGTGATCTGCAAACAAACCGTGAATAAATAAATAATGAAAAAATGGAACAATCGTATAAAGATTGTTAAAATCATAAAAGTGTAATCATGGTGAAAATTTTTATTATCTCGCAAAAAAATGATTAAGATTCCTTTGTATGTTCTTTTCTGACTCTTGTAACAAGAAGCTAAAGAACGGAGAAATACATTTGAAACGCGCGTTTCCTTCTCAAAATATTTACATGATCGAATGAAACGAAGCAACACTTTGCTTGCATCATCAATTTATAGATCGCATTTGCAGCTATGCCGAAGCGTCTACAAACAAATCTGACAAAGGGGTAGTTATTATCGAACAGACTTTTAGACAAAGATATCCAGATTCCTTCCAATAAACTAGAGTAAACGAAACCAACATTAGTGACATAAAAAGGATATACATTGAGAATTTCTTTTTATGCAAAAGCATTCAATATGCATGGATTAATAAAAATGAAAACTGTTTGATCATTTAACAAAATAAAAAATCTCAAAATTCTACGTACGATTTTCTTGTTATCTCGTTTCCACAACCAAGTATAAAAATAGAAAAATTGAAGAAAATATAAAAACACAGAAAAACTGCAAGTCAAATGACGCAAACTTTTTACGAACAACGTCACAACCGTATTATGGCAAGTGCAAAAAGAAGCGCATCGTTCAATTCTCATAATTAAATAATTTGTTGAATATTAGTCCTTGCGTTCAGTGCAATATCTGGATCTCGCATCTCTTTACATTCAGAAGAATATCCATCCGATGGCGGAGGACAATAGCCGATCGGCCGAGGAATCCGGTTTGCTCGAAGTCGAGAGGAAGCTCGATAGACCGAGCCGACCGCGAGACCAAAGAGCTGTCAAGGTCAAGGACAAGCCCGAGGATCCTCGACTTCCGACTCCGCCCCCGGATCCGCAGTGCCTGGCGGTCGCGCGGGATCGCGCGACAGGAATAACGTCTCGCCCTGAAGAAGAGGAAGAGGATCTCGCGGCTTACCTCAGCGAGCTCGGCGCCTCGCCGTTCGAGGGCCACTCGTTCGACTACGACACCACCCCGAATTCGACAACCTCGGTCCCCTTCGCCGAAGAAGCGTTCGAGCACCTGGACCGGCTGTACGCCTTGACGGAGCAGATCCTAGAGCTGCGCTCACGCAGCTCCAAGTTCTTCCGGCGCGTTCGAGGACTCGAGCGCGTCAAGGTTCAGAGAAATGCCGATCGGCGGCTGGAAATCGCCCTGGCGAACGATGAGGAGGAGCTGCTCCGCGATTTCACCGACGAGGACACCGGTTTCGCGGAGTCGCTGCTGGACGCGATGCTGTCGAATTGTCGGGATGCCACGTCGATTCCGAGACGAGGCGAACGTTTGAGCGGGAGATCTCCTTCGTCGTCGTCGAGGCAACGAAGCCGATCCTTCGCCCTGGCCGAGCAGAATATCTCTTCGAACCTGCTGGAACGGGCGGCCGAGGCAGCGGACAAACGCGGAGGTTCGTTCGCGAGAAACGCGAGTCATAACGGAGGTCCGAAAGTAAGCAAATGGACCAGAGTGAAGGCGGCCTTCAAATGGGAGCGCGCTTGTACCAACGATCTCGCGGACATCGCGGAATCCAGCACGTTGACGACAGCATCGTCCACGCCGACGACCAAGTATCTGAGGATCCCGGACGCGATCGCTACCGGAAGCTGGACCCCTTGTACCAGCGAAGTCTCCACGCCGATCGGCAGAGTATCGCCCGCGTCGTCCTCCAACGAGGAGGTGTTTGATGGTGAGAATTACATCTCCAGTCTATTTTGGAATTTTATAGATTTTTTATATTGCATGATGAGCTTTTCATTTGATGGCAATTTTTTCTATATTCAAATTTCAACACAAAATTAATTATACGATTATTAAATACTGACAATTTTGGGTAACTGCAAATTAAACTCTGGGATTGTCAAATAATAATCTCAATTTTTTTATTATAGAGTTATAAATAAATTTAACAAAGAATTAGCAAGATATTTTTAAAATATTCAAACACATTTATCTTTCAAATTTTTCTAAATACGAATCTGTATGACAAGTTTATGAATTAAAATTATATGGTGTAATATATAGTATATTCTGTATCTTTTTCATAAAATAAAATTTAATAATATAAAGTGTCATTTAATTTTATTACATATATAATATACTTAATTATATAAAATAATTATATAACAATTATGTTACTTATGTGTCTATATATAATAATTTTAAAGAAGCTTTTACAAAACAAAGGATTACACTTCGATTATTATATATTTTTCTAGATTCGCGCAAAAATTTGATAATCTATCCGGATCGACAACCGACGAAAGATGACAGAAAGAAGGAAGATCCAGATCCCATCGCAGAGAATGTCGGTTCCGTAGAATCTCCGAGCGAGGTAACATCTGTTTGATATCAAGGCGAGAAAAAGAGCACATATGATTTAAACATGAGATTGAAATATTTTCTTCGTAAATGTACAGAATTTTAAATTTTCTTCTATTATTTTTCGCGCTTCATCTCGCGTCTAGTGGCTCACGATTCGCGTTATAAGAGCATATAGCACCGATAAGAACCCTCCGCGAAATTCCTTTCTCGCAACGCACACATATACACAAGTGCCGACTTAAAAATATCCACGGCAACGCGTGCGTGCCGCGCACGGCCGCGCCCGTTGAATTTCTTTGATCAACGCATCGCGAGCGTGTCCATTAACGGCCGTTGTCCCATTCTGAAATGCTAGTCTTTGTGGGACAGTCTTTTGGGCTGTCATTGAAAATTGCGCTTCTCCGCCTCTATTACTTATTTCAATTTCTTTAAACGAGAGCAAATCGTTCTCCGGGATTGTAGTTATAAAGAAACCTGCACTTTTTTAATTCGCTCCTTCTCATTTCTCTTTTGACAACATATATTAACATTGCATTTAACAATAATTATTTATTATTGATTGTCAAGGGAAAAAATTTTAATTTTTTTTATTATATTAAAAATTGTAGAAATTATGAAATGATCGTCGTGCTCATTCTTAATGATAGGCAAATCGCAGTAAACCATTGATTCGCATCATCTCGGATACGGATGCAACGATGCACGCTGCAAGCGTGAGAGATCCAGAAGTATCACCCAAGAGACCAACGCCGACTCTGACGATCACGATACCTTCGAATGAAGAGGAAATCAAAAGTTTATCCTCTCCGGAATCGATATCTCCTCTACCTTCGAGCACGCAAGATTCCGGCGGAAGTTCGCCGCAGCATCCCAAGATGCGCCAGGATACGTCGAGTCCGAGGGAATTTAAACGACAGGTTGGAGAGAAGTGGCACTTGGCATGCTTTTAATGTTTGAATTTATCGCAAGACAAATGTATTTCCAATTCTGTTGTCGTCATCCTTAAATATAGATCCGATGCGATGGGGAGGTCGCGTTTGGGAATTTCTAATAGTAATTGCGCTCGTTAAAAATTCGAACAAAGTTTCTTTGTCTTCAACTTGTGTCTCAAGACAGGTCATCGCGCAACTTGAATGAGTTATTTTGTCTACGAGGAATGCGCTGCAAATAAGACAAGGCATTCTAAATTTCGCAAAGACGCTTTCTCTTGCCAAATGAACCCACATTGCGCAGACTTCGCCTCGCGTATACAGAATAATATACATTTGGTTCCAGCATTCGACGATCGAGGAAGCAGTAACGCAAGCGCCAAAGATACAGCGACAAGATTCGAAATGGAACAAGGTCAGACGTGCTTTTCTCACGAACGCCACCTTCAGCGTTCCACCGAGTCCGGTTAGAGTGGTCGCAGCACAATCATTCACAAATGATGGTGAGAATTTATATATACCAAATTTACACAAATATGTATATACACTCCTCAAAATAATTAAGGGATCAAAACAATTGTCCAAAAATAGGCAAATTTTAAATAGCTGTAACTTTGTTTCGAAAAATGATAATTTAAAAAATGAATTTCAAAGCTTGACATCTCTACTTTCGAAAGGTCATAGCTTTTTTCATTTTCTTCAATTCTGATATTTTATTACAAACAGAAAACGACAAACATAACAAAATGGAAAATTTTTTCCCACTTTGTAGACACGTCACATACACAAGATGATTTGAAAAAATTTTTTTGACATTTTCACGTTAAAGCCTGCAGTTTTCTCTGCAAAATCATTTTTTAAAATGTAAATTTTGATCTTTCCTTATCAAGTTATTGCAAATTGAAGAGAAAATGCCATTTTCACTTTAATCGGTTATAACTCTGTTAAAAATCACCGTGCAGCAATTTTGAGAATGGAATCTTAAAGCTAAATCTTTGCTCTATAGTATGATATAGAGACTGAATTTTTTTTTAACTCGTGACCTTTTTACAAACATAAGTGAAATAACGAAGAAATTCGCGAGTTTTCTCCTACTATTTAAAATAACTATTTAAAATTTGCCTATTTTTTGGACAATGTTTTTGATCCCTTAATTATTTTGAGGAGTGTATATATATTTGTATAAATTTTATACTAAAAAAAAAGAAAACATTATACAGCTGCAAAAAGATCTCTTAGCGCGAAAAAAGCCACCGAAAAATCTATTTTTGCAATAAATTATGTTTGTAATATACATCTATATTACTATATTATATTTTCTCTATTTTAATTAAACATTTGTCGAGAACCAAAAGTTTTACATTCTTACCGAGTATGAGGATTCTGAGTTTCGATTTTAATAGATCCATCACATTCTTTTATCATAAATCTTAATAATATAAATCTTTATAGAATACTTCAAAGAAAATACTATATTTGAAGGTATATGAAGCTAAAAATATATTTCTTGCACGTCTATTTTTAAAGTAGAGGTAAACATGCACAGAATAATGAGATTGAAGGAGAGACTGTTGAATTATTTCAATCTTAAAATCGTTTGCCATTTTCTTCCCTCATAACTTTCAATTCTCACGATTATAATTCTAAAGTTTCTTCATTTACAATTTTTGTCGCTACTTACTCGATCTCTTCAGCTGAACGATACATCTCTCCAGGTACTTTACCAATTCAGCCACTTTCTCGCGGTTTACTTCTATTACTTCCTGCGTCGTCGTTTCGTGTGCCTTCATTATTGCCTGGCGTAATTTCGCGATCTCTTCGAGCTTGCGACGCACTTCCTCGTCCATTTGATCAAGCATCTTCGTCGCTTCGTCCAATTGTTTCTTTGCGCATTGTGCGAGATCGGAAGGAACATTGTGTCTACGACACTCGACGAGACTCTTCTGTGCACGTTCGATGCACATAGACACGTCGCTTCGCAGATTCTTCAGCATGTAAGTTATGCGCTTCGCGTTTGGAGCGATGGCTCGTTCCAGAGCATCGAACGATCGCATGATCTCATCATTGAGCAGCAACGTCTCCTTTCGCATCCAGCTGCCATACGAGACGTCCAATTTAATCAGTTTATCAAGTTTTCCCGAAGTCGCCTTGAACAGCTTCTCCATTTGAATCGCACGAGCAGCCTTGCTGCTCTTCAAATCACTTTCCACATCGTTCGCGATTGATCGCGATTCGTCCTCCACGAATTTTATTAAATTCTCAATACAAGGCTTTAAGGATTGTTGTGCATTCAAGTAATCATCGCTGGCTGTTGTTGAATCGCACTAAAATTTATTATTAAACTCGTTACGACATTACATTAAAATAAAAAAAGTTATCGTATATTAAATATTTACAAATTACTTCATAATTAATTTTTAGTAATTACATATTTGCTCTTTTTTTAAGTTTTGATATTCGAAATATAAAATTAAATTTTTTGAACGAATAATCAGATATAAATCATTAACGATTTTATGCACATTACAATGATATAATATATATGAAATGTGTAAAATTTGCATTATATATTTATATAATTTTACTGAATGAGAAATTTAAGAACATCTAACAGAAGGAAGCGTAAATTAAATAACTCGCGATTTACTTTTTTAATCTTAGGCTTGGAGAATAATTTTTTACAGCATAATTGTGCAAATGTTGGCTTAGGACATTGCTTAAGTTTCTTCTGATATTCTACGGGGGTTAGACGAATTTTGTTTTCCGACAAGTTAACAAACTTGCCATCTTTTGATATTTTCTTACTGAAGCGAAAAGCGGAGAATGAATTTTTTGGAATATTATTCAGAATTTGACGGCCTACTTGAAAATTTTGCAGCAACATGCCACTTGTATATGTGTCACATGTTGCTTATTAGGACGAAATAAAATGATTGAAGGCATATAACAAACAAAAGATATCGATCGCACTTCGAATCGACAAGATAACTTCGAGAGAGCAAAATCGATGGATGAAATCGACATTATAGACATAATTAGCGCATACTTTGTAATATTAAAATATTGCAAGAATGACGAGATTCTTGCAGATATTGAGATTTTCATAAATACGTAATTAAAGAGCTTGTCAACATAACATTTTTATAACTTGAAACTCCAAAAAGAAAAATTAAAAATGCAACTAAAAAAATTCGCGAGAATTTGAATCTTCGAAAATTCCTTTAACTCTTTTGCATGCCCGTTATTACGCGCTTTTCGTCGTCGCATTAAATATCTTCGTTATAAACGCAGATACGCTCCGAGCTCGCAGCTGTAGCGAAAGCATCGAGGATCTCGGTAAAACCGTTACAGGTATCAGCAGCAACTACAACAGCAGTAACAATAACCACTGTCGGGAGCAAGAAGCGCGCAAGGATTATCAGGGATTGCGAGAGAAGTTCGGTGCCGAGTTCCACCGGAAGCTGGTCGAGTGGGAGCGCCTGAAAAACACACGAAACGCTCGTGATGGTCTACCGTTGAACGAGGAACGGCTGGCACCCGAGTTCCGGAAGAAGCTGCAGGATTGGAAGCGGACGAAGAAGGGCCGACGATCCGGTGCGACCATCGAACAGCAACGTGTCAGTCGTCGACGCTTGACCGACTGGCAGCTCTGGCGCTCCTCTTCATCAAAACCCGAGCTCAGGTGTTACAATGTACGTTGATCTCGCTTATCAATATTTTGAGAATCCCTTGAAAAAAGGGTTGCTGGAAAAATGAATGACTATTTCTTGAAAAATTATAAAATAAGTCTTCTTTCAAAAAAATATAAGTTTAGCCACAAAAATTTGTGTTTCGAAAAAATTAATTATTGCTATATATAAAAATATTAACCTTTTTGTCGCAATTATAATTGCTTTCTAATTATTTAATAGATCCTTTAAGGATCCTTATGATCAAAAATTTAAATGACTATATAAAGAATTTTTCGTGTTGAAACGAAATAAAAAAAGACACGCAAGCTTTTCTTCATCGAAATCCGAGCTCAGGTGTTACAATGTACGTTGATCACGCTTATCAATATTTTGAGAATTCCTTGAAAAAAAGGACTGCTGGAAAAATGAATGACTATTTCTTGAAAAATTATAAAATAAGTCTTCTTTCAAAAAAATATAAGTTTAGCCACAAAAATTTGTGTTTCGAAAAAATTAATTATTGCTATATATAAAAATATTAACCTTTTTGTCGCAATTATAATTGCTTTCTAATTATTTAATAGATCCTTCGAGGATCCTTATGATCAAAAATTTAAATGACTATATAAAAAATTTTCGTGTTGAAACGAAATAAAAAAAAGACACGCAAAAGCTTTCCTTCATCGAAATCCGAGCTCAGATGTTACAATGTACGTTGATCTCGCTTATCAATATTTTGAGAATCCTTTGAAAAAAGGCTGCTGGAAAAATGAATGACTATTTCTTGAAAAATTATAAAATAAGTCTTCCTTCAAAAAAATATAAGTTTATCCACAAAAATTTGTGTTTCGAAAAAATTAATGATTGCTAAATATAAAAATGTTAACTTTCTTGTCGTAATTATAATTACTTTCTAATTATTTAATAGATCCTTCGAGGATTCTTACGACCGAAAATTTAAATGACTATATACAGAATTTTTCGTGTTGAAACGAAATAAAAAAAAAAAAAGAAACGCAAGCACAAATAAAGAAAATGTATGCCTTTTTTCAACAACTCTATTTTAATTATAATTTGCAATATATATTTTTCTCTGGATGTGTTTTTTATATGGTAGAAAAATCAGAATTCAATCGGTTCTCGCGGAAGCTGCGCGAGTATCGGTAGCGCAGGAAGCTTCGGCAGCGATGGAAAACAGCATCTCTGCGAGGACTTCATCAAGCGGATGGAGGCGTGGAGGAGGATGAGTGAAGCCGCGTGTCGAAGCAACGAGAGACCAAAATCGCCGGCTAATCGCATCGCGTCCGACAACATCGACGAAACGGAATTTCTCGCCTTAGAGAAGCTGCTGTTGCTGTTTGGTCAAAGAATCGGGAAGGAACATCGTGAGAGCGACGCGAGACAACTGAATGATTGCTTCGACGGCGACTCGAGGTATAGAAATCCGTGTTAATAATGTTTGAATATTTTTTTAAATGACATATTTTGGTTAGATATAAAAAAAATAATAAAAGCCAGAAAAAATAATGCGTGTGTATAAATGATAAATTATTAAGTTTTTTAATTAAAAGATTCATGGCTATGTCTCGAGGCGTAAACTGTGGTAACGAAGTGTTGATTCGCACATCCGTTGGATCCTATCGGTTCGAAGGGATATCCCGAGAATTCACAAGAAAATTATACGATTGGGAAAAGTATCGCGGAATATCGCCCAGGTCCTCGACATTCCGCCTTTTGGGACCTGGTTATACGCCGTTCATGCAAGGTTCGGACGAAGCTACGTTGACAGAATCATCAAGTACGACGGGTAAGATTAAAATAATTTCTTGAGAAGCTCGATATTTTCTAGAACAGAATACAAATTATATAAATAAATGTTAATTTATTCAGATATTGTTATTATTACAAAAATTATAGGAAAGAATCGTGGATTCCACTGGACCCTAAAGAGATCCAAGTCGGATGGTAGCGTGTTCGAAGGCAGTCTTCGGGATGAATCGTTCACTATGCGTCGATCCACGAGTCTCCAATCTCTGATCTCTACCAACAAACTCGAAGATGACACTCGAATGAACACTCTGCCAGTTTCTAGTACGTATACTATTTTAGGAATCTTTTTTTCGATATATTTTTCATATTTTGTCTCTTTTTTCCTTTTTATTGTTATATAGTATGTATGTCCGATGACATACTTGTAATTAATTTTTTATTTCTTTGTTACATAATAATAATAAATATTACCTTTGTTACAGATAACTCGCAGGGGATGAAAGATCCCTCAGAGGACACGGCAGTGGAGGACTCCGAACCAGAGGCGATGATCGTCGATATCGAGGACGTCATCGAAGAGACAGCCAGTCCTTTGACCGGGGTACAACCTCATCAGACGCCGGTGTATTCTGTCGCGGCCAGCGAAACCACCAGCATCGCCGTCCCTCTCGGTACAGTTACATCCAGCCACGAGCCGTCGCCGGTGTTCTTGGTCGAAGCTGAAGACAATGAGAATTGCGAACCATGGAACGGCAGAAAGTGGATCGGTCAGGAAATTCGAGCGAACGAGAGTCCGAGACGCTTCTCGCTATCCGAGGACTGGCACGAGAAAGTGACATTTTTGAAGGAAGATAAATCGAGCTGGAAGGAAGACACCAAGGAGAATCAAGGAGCCACAGACTGGATCGAAAAAAGACGCCGTTCGAGTCTAGATTTCGACGATTCTCTGAAATCCGACCAATCGATTGAATGGAATCGAGATACTTCGGACGAGTCGTGCGATAAACCGAAGAGGTAAGTTATTTTTCCACAGAAAAGTTATCGCTTTTTTTCACCTAAAATCGATATTTTTTCAGAGATTCAATCACACTCGAATTGCCTCTAACGCCGATCTATGAAAGTAAAAATGATACGAAGAAACAAGAGTCTTCTTTTGGTAAATTATATTAATTTTCTTAGACATTAGGTTAAATATTTCATTGCCAGAGTTATCTTTTTTATTTTCTAAGTTTTTCAATTTTTTTTCATAGCATCTTGTAAATCGTAAGTATTTTACTTTTTCTTTCGCTGTCCTGTTTCAGAAAATGACAACTCCGAATCTGCGTACTTTGCGGATAATTTCGAACCTACGTCGACGACCTGGAATGCGGAAGAATTAATGGTACAGTTAAATAATTTAATCTTACTTTAAAATATAATTAATTTTGCACGTTGGTTATTTATATAGTTTTAATATTTTTCAAAGCATGAACGTGTAATAAAAAAAAAGTTGCTTATAAAAAATATTTTTTAATAATCGTCCAAAGAGAGATACTCGAATCATTGTGTTGAGGCTCAAACTTTTTGGAAAAATAAGTTTTATCATAGCGCAATTGAAATTAGCGTCCTGTCGGTACAACCAGGACTCGCCGCGCACGTGGACTAAGGAGATGAACGAGACCAGAAAGATCGAGGATTTAGCAGATGAATTAATGAATAATGAGCAGACAATCGATGCAGTGGACTTTCAAGATGACAGAAACGACCAAGAGGCCAAAAAGAAAAAAATAATTATCAGCACAGATTTTTGTACTTACCAATTGGCAAAAACAATAGCATCTTCAGATCGCCGCGATTCCACGGAAACTTTATCGAAATTATCGAACTCAAACTTGGGTAAGATGTTTTTTTATTCTTCTTCAATCTTAATTTATATTTTTATTAGTTACTCATTCGTTTTATATTTTTATTTTCTTACATAAGCATCTCATTAAAATAATTCTTCTTGGCAGACGATAACAAAGATATGTCGGAATGCTGCGATCTTAATATTAAAAATGAGACTTCAGCACGTTACGAGAATTGTAGTTCTCCCGAGCTACAGGATGTCGATCGACATTATGAAATTCTCACATTTAAAACAGACACGTACGACGATACGGTGAATAATCACTTGTACGAACCGGTCGATTATCACGAAGAAGTACGCGGTTCCTCTTATGACGACAAAAATAAATCCATAAGAGAGAGTCTTTTGTCATCAAAGTTAGCAGGAATGGATAGATCTAATCTTGCGGAAACTTCGAAAAGCCTCTTGACCAATTCGACCATTCGGACTGTACCAATAACCGTCTGTCGAGACAACGAAGCGCGCTGTTTGGAGAAAATTCTGATCAACGAGGAGACGCTGAACAAAATAATCGTTCCCACAGCGAGCGCGGAGAACGGAATGAAGAGAATCCGGAATCGTTTCGCGAGCGATGAACACCCAGACGACGTCATCGACGATCGATCGATCGATTACAGTTCATCTGCGAAGATCGCGACTCGCGACAATCAGATTGACGGTATCAAGAAGGACGGGTTTTCCTCCAAGAACGTTTTTGTCAAGACCAAACGCATGATATTCGGCCCATTCCGTCGCTCGGAAGACCGGACAGCTTCAAGAAAGGAAAGCGACGGCTTCATCGACAGTCGACTCCGACGTTCGTCGAAATCCAAAAGTAAATCGAGATCGGCGTCGCCCAAATTATCTCGACACGACGCTTTAATGCGCATCTCGTCCTTACCGTGGCCTCTACGCTCCACCCCGAAGGATAGCGAAGGTCCTTTCGAAGCTGAGTCCAGAAGAAGCTCAGGAAGCAAAATGGAAGATGCAATGACGATCCAGCAAAGAAATTCGTCCTGCGAAGAGAATAGAGAATTCAACAATCTACTAACTGAGGAGAAGTCAACATTGTCATCAAATAATGTAAGCTCTGAAAAGATTCGACACTCGGATACGAAATTTGTGACTGCGCCGAGAAATATATGTTCGTTCGGGATGACTTCTACACGAATTTCTGAGCGATCAGATCGATCGAAAGTAACATCGATTAAACAGGACCGATGCGGTCAAACGCAGAACGATGAAGAACGCGGTAAAGTCAAGTGTAATCAAGTCGATGTTGAAGAAAAGCGAGACGAGGAAAGATTCAGCCGAAAGCAAGACGAAAGGGAGAACAGATTCGTCCAAAAACAGGACAAAGCGAGGCAGCAGGATGAGAGTCACGTGAAATGCGACACGGTATCATCCGATTTGATGCACAAGCTTCGAATACTTTCGGATGCTGCGGCGAAAAAGGAGGGTCGAGCGACGATTACAGAATCTCCCGTCATCAGCGATCCGGAATCGCGTTCCTCGAGAATACGTCGCGCCAAAGAGAGCTTCCTGTCGCGTCGAGGCGGTCCTTTCTGTCGCTCCATGATGGAGTCGTCGGAAGAAATTGCGGATCCTTGGAAACGTTCAACGCTGATGTCCAGTAGTCAGATATCAATTGAAACGTCAAAGCCGAATGAAAATCTAGTGGTTGCAGAATCCAACGAAACAGAAAATGCGGCAAGTCTAATAAAAATGACGTCGCCGATCGCACAAGACGAAATCGGTTCTTTAAGTGAGGACAAAATCGACGGGTGTCAGGAGAAGAATCTCACGATCGACGCCGGTGTTCGATCGGAATCGCTGGTGAAATCGGCGAGCGCCAGTATGATCAACGTGGATCCCAATACATTCGATCGATTAGCTACGACCGATCGCGGATGCGAGTCCTTGCCAAGGGCGATCGCGAAGCGGCGCGACTCTTCGGGGCCGCTGGCGAAGATCGTCGGCAAGCTGAGACTGTCGCGACTGATTCGCGCCAAAAACGACAATGGAGGTATGAGCACGATTTCGACGTTGTGCAGGCAGAGTTTGTTGATCGACATGCGTGACGATCCTGAGAATCGACGGAGCAACGAACGGGAATCGGAGAGGGATTCGGTTGCGAAGGATGAGGATAAGGACGATGATCGTTCGGGTGAATCTTCTTAAAACGATACTTAAACAAAGTTTTCATCAACATATTGTTTACGTAATATTCCGGGTATATCTGTGAATTTTTTAAATTTATTTCTTAAGTTTGTTTAGGTCTTGCAACAACGAGAAAGTAATCTTGAATAATAGATATAAGTTTTTCTCTTTTTCACTAGTCGGATACTGATGTTTCAATTAATTTATTCATTAACAAAAACCTGAGCGCGCTAATGGAAAATGTATAAGCAATTGAAAGTAAACAATTTTTCATAAATTAAGCCTCCAAACTGTTAATAGATAACAATTATTCATAACACGATTTGTTATGACAAAATCGCTTAAAATTAAAATAAAAAACGTATATTTATTTTAATTTTATTATTATCCCTTCGGAGGAAACACGACTTCAAGATAGATTACGCCAAGTCGCGTGCTTTCTATTTCTTTTTTTTTCTAACAATACTCGCGCAAACATCGCATCCCCGCGCGCAACGGACGGCAAACACAATGACGGGTCCGATCAGTGTTTGATTAAACGGGATTAATGTCCCCGGGGCGGTCTCAAGTGGGCGAAGGGAGAAAGCGCGCGCGTGCCGCCACGACTCGATTCTCTCCCTCATCCCCTTTTTTCGCCCCATTCCGCGCGCGTTCCGCTCCGGTTCCGACCGAAGGACCTTTCCGCGTGGATCGTCGAACCGTCGCTCGATCGCATTAAGAGGATTTCATTCGGCCTCGAAACGATCGCAAACAAACCGCTCGACCGGCGTCAGCGACTTGTTTTCGACCCAGGCATTGTATATAGCGTAACATCGATTGACGACGAGAGAGAGAGAGTGCCATGGGAAGAATGTTGATCTCCGACGAAATGATATCCCTCGGGACACCGAGGGATGCAAATTCGCGTTTGTGTTCGGTCGAGCTTCAGATTTCCTCTACTCCATCTATTCATATCCGATAAATGTAATATTCAATTTTTCTTCATATTTTATAATAAAATATTTATGCTGTCTAATATATATAAATCATGCATAAATAAATAAAGTGTTAAAAATAAATAAAATAAAAGATTAAAATAAAATTCAATTTATAATTTTATACGTTCCCTAATATATAATAAATAAAATATTTGTATATCAGAATACATAAATATATATAAAGTTATGTGATACTTAAAATTATTAATAAATTCTCGTTTTAATTTTGGTCATGAGATCGAAAATTATAGATTTCTTCAAATAAACGTAACATTAAAAAATTTATAAAAAATAATTTGACTAATATCAAAATAAATAATCATATTTACAAAGAAAAGTATATTCTTGCTGCAAAAATATTTGTTTCAAAATAGTCGGACAATATTTTTTATTCCCATGGTTTCCCTCAGCCATTCTGAGATAATCGAGGACATTAAGAAAACCACAAGATATTGTATCTTCTGGGGCGGGACTGAGAGTACACGGCTATACAAGCGCGTTGGGAAAAATACGTTCGCCCAGGTACAGGATCCTTTGCCGATTTACGATTTGAGACGCGCGAGACGCGCAGGATCATCGACGCGCGGCACAATGGGCGGTCGTGTTGCTCGTTGCCTTCTCCAGGATCGAGCTGTCCGTCTACCTGCGTCTATAATCCGGAAGCGTTCGCGGGAGCACGCATGCAGGCTTGCCGAGAAGATATTAATGTCGTGGGACCGCGATGATCGCGTATACGAAACATCGCTCCGGATCTCGTCTCCATTCTTCTTAGACAATACCCGCGATCGACTTCCGTCAGACCACCTGGATGGGAACGATAGGTTCACGGTCATTTTGAAATACCCTTATACGTACGTACGACACCGATTTTTAATTAATTATTATCATAATTGATTTATTAAATATTTAAATATTTTATATTTAGGCTCGTATAAATTCAAACTTCATTTAAGAATAGGCCAACTAAACGAGCTAGATTATTTTTCGGGTGTTAAGTGGTTTTTCTTATTTCAAATAATTTTAGAAACACACATTACATAATACTAGAAGAGAAAACTGTTGTACAGTCGAAACGTTTACTCTTTTAGTATTATGTAATGTGTTTCTAAAATTATTTGGAATAATAAAAATCATTTAACACCCAAAATAATCTAGCTCGTTTAGTTGGCCTATTTAATCAAATATGAAGAATTGTGTTTCAATCGAACGCGAAAATTTCGAGCGAATTTCTCTCATCATCGCGTTCTGTAAAGTGAAAATATTTTTTTTTCTTTTTTTGGAAGCCTTGGAATGCAAATTCTCGAACAAATGCATTATACAGCGGACTCGAATTTGAAACGAGCGAAGGCATATTGATCGCGCGAGCGAAAAGCGACTGATTTATTGCGAGAGTAATACTTATTGTAATTCTGCTGCAACGGGGTGCATAAGTAGACGCATACGTTGTTTGTCTTCCCCACGTGGCTGAATTTCATTTTGTGTCTAGATGTTTTTTTAATGACATGAAATATCTATTAAAAATAATAAACGATCCAATTTTTGAGTCTGGAAAATTTAAAAGATTATTAGAATTATTAGATCATATAATATGCAACTAATTTAAAATATGAATACAATGAAAGTTTTCAAAATGATATAATGTTTAGATCTATTTTGACATTTTGCTAATATTTACATTCTTAATAACGTAACATCTCAAACTGTCTAGAGTCGCAAAAAGTGGAAAGCCTTTTTTAGCTTCTTGAGATTAACAAATCAAAAAAGAACTGAAAAGATCCTTCTTCTCTAAAGTCCTCAATCAAAATGAAGATGAGATGCCGGTGACTTAAGAAGCCGTCCGCGCTGTCCGAATCTTGACACGACGAAATGTATTTCCACCGTCGCGATCCTCCGATTCCGATGTATGCGTGTGTGTGTGTCCTCTCGTTCATACATAAATTACCATTCAGTCCATTCCCGGTCTGCGAAGAAGAGAGATAGGAGCGACGACGAGAGGGAGAAAAATACAGGTGCTGCGGACCGTTGAATGCGCGGTTACCACCGACAAATTTCGATCGCCAGTTATCGTTCGATCCGGTCGCGAGATTGCATTATCCCGATGCTTATAATCGGGGACCGAAATATTCGGCTGCGTATGCGTATACGCGCGCGTTAGACCGTTTCTCAAATAAAGCAATCTCCAGGATCAGACAACATCGCGGCGGCATTAGTCCTTTTATCCCTCTCTCGCAACCCTTTCAGCCAGAGATCGCGAAAGTAGCCACTGCAGAGTGCAGCCGGACTCCTCTTTGTCAGAAACGGAGCCTGCTGACAGAACGAAGGTGGTTAGTCGACTCGGCAGAATTAATCGCCTCGGAAAATATTTACGTTCTCTCGTCCAAAAGGGCCCCATCGCCTGTCTCCCTCTTTCTTCTACAGTGGTCCTCTCCTCGGATCCTTCGGTATTCCTCCTCCACTATGTGAAAAGATCTTCGCGGTTAGATTCGGCAGCGCGGATCTCAGATCAGCGACCACTTACGGTAGTTTGATCTTATCCCGATGCCGGGAGGCAAAGAGAAATTAAGTGCCACGCGACACGTACATAAAACACATGTTGGAATAAAACCAGTTTTCGCTAGATATTAATTAATAATTTCCATCATTAGATCCGAATGATTAATTACATTCTGAAGTTTCACTCCAAATATGTTAAAATAATATTCATTTAAAATTTTTCAAATCTTAAAACAAAAAACAGGTTTTATATATGCATGTACATGTCAAAATAATAATTTCTATCAATAATAAAATTGTTTAAGCAATTTTTTGTAGTTGTTTACAAGAAAGTATATATGCGAGATATTAAAAAATATTTTTATTTTTATACCGGTAACGTGATAAAATGATTGGTAACGTAATACGCAATTCTTGGAGAAAGATCGGGATGTTGTTATACAAGTTAGCACTTGGGATCTACTTTTCTCGCCGTACTGGTTGAAAGGAATACTACTGAACCTTGGCAGTTTGCACGTAGAAGTTTGTTTTATTCCTAAATAACGCTAAATGCGAAAGGGCGGAGGCACTACTGCAGTCTATTGTCACCGAAACACAAAACGCAACATGGTTTATGATTCTTCGACAGTATTTATTTAGATGCCGCACTTCTTCCTTCGTCATTGCCTCAAAGAATGTCATATTTATCTAACTTCTGTGGCATCTGGAAGAGATCACATTCGCATATAAAATTTAGAGAAACAACTTCTCTTGTGTAAAAAAATAGAAATAAGTTACTTCTCCTCATTTATTGTGATTACATAAAAATTGTGCGACTAATCTTGGTTTATTATATTCACTAGTTGCGCGTAACTTGACGGATGATGAAAAAAGCATGCTAAGATAATTCGTCACTAGACAGCTCCGAAAGATCTGTTTTTATTAAAAATTCTTTTAATTCTACATAAATGCTACAATATATAAATAATAATTGCTAAATAAAAATTTAATTTAGCAATTATCAAAAAGGAATGAAAAGGTATAAGATGCAGGAGGAAGGAAGGAAGAAAAAGAGGAAGGAGTCATCGTTGGAAGGAAAGAAGTCTGCAGGTTCTTCTCAAATTGCGATGAAACCGGGCACCTCCGCGTCGCCCAGGTTTCGTATAACGAATGGACCACCGATGATGGTGCTGCTCGTCATTCTCTCTTTCGCTTTTTCGATGAATATCCATTTGTCCATCCAGCGACCCCAACTAGCAAATTCTTACTTCGAGGAGTTGCGCGAAAAGTGGACCGACAATCGCGACACCGATTATTAAGATAACTGCGCACGATGACGACAAATGATGAAACAAAGGGTCGAAAAAAGACGTTGATTCGTCTAATTTATCGTTGTAATTTTTGAAAGAAGCGTAGAGGATTTTAATCCAAAATTAGAAGTCACGTATGTACGTAATACATGCAGATATATTTCTTGTATGCATAGATATTGAAAAATTATATCGCACGGATGCAAAGATCATGTGGAGAGTTATGTAAAATAATTTTATTTTGTAAAAAAAATACATCGCATTTCAGTCTCGCAAAGAATACGTAGCTAATTGTCGTATCAAAAATAAATTATAATAGTATACACAATTCTGCGGGCTATATGATACAGCGCTTAAGATTAATTAACTCTTATAACAGGCTATAATACAAAATTTACATCTATTTACATACGTATAATATCGCTAATATTTTATAGATCCGAGATCGCATGTCAGCAATTATTTTACATTGTTCGATATATCTGTGCATTTTTCAGTTTTCACAGTACAACGAATAATTGTGCGTGAATACTGAAAAGTGTGAAACATACAGAGCGCATCAGTAAATAATACATAATGATAATACGTCATTTCTCGTTCTGCTTATTAACGAAACAATTATTGATTTAATGGTCAATTTATCTCTCAATATTATAGATATTGATAATTATTATTTATATTTTACAAAAGGCACATTTCTCAAATGCGATAACATGGACTCGATCTCTCTCTCTCTTCCATCTTTCTGATTAAATTTATTTTTCACAACGTCAATGTTCGAAGAATTCGCGAATCTCATATTTGACGTCTCTTATTTAAGGTCCCGCTTTACCTTAAGCTTAAACGAGCTTAACTGCTTCCAGCACCGCGGAAAGCCTCACTGTAGCAGATCGTAAAGCGCAGTAATGTAAGATTGAGCCATCTGCAACGTCTCATACTTGGACAACTGCCTATCATTGCCCAGAGACGGCAAGTAAGCGCGGAGTCTGTCGAAAGCCTTGTTCAGGTTCTGCATTCGTCTCCTCTCGCGCGCGTTGGCGGCCAGCCGACGTTTCCGGACGATGGTCGAGTTGACGTACTTGCCTCGTCTGCGGACCGCGTCACGCTCGCCGGAAGTGACGTTCGCGTTCTCCGGATGGTCCACTCCGTCCTCGCTGATCTCCTCGTCGTCTTCACTGTCACCGTCCATTATTCTGTCGGACAGGCTGGAGTTGCTGATGACGCTGCCGTGACAGGACTGCGTTTTGTCGGCATCCAGGACGAGCGTCTCCTCGGGATCCTCTCGCTCGCCGTCCAAATTGACCATCTCCTCGGTCACGAGATGGTCCATCGCGCTGACCCGCAACCGTTTATGACCGAGGTTGTTCAGCCCGATCGTCGACGAGGTCCTCTTGTCCTTGCCGACCGAGGTCAGCAGCCGATACGTCGACGGCGCGCTGTTGAGAGTCTCTGGTTCCGACGAGATCGACAACGTCGTGGCCGGACTGACGGATCGCAGACTGGCGGTGGGACTCGGCGTGTGCCAGCCGTCGCTGCAGTTGCTGCTGTCATAAACGAGACTCTGCGGCACGGCCAGGGTGCTCATGGGCGGCAGACCGATCTTGCTGGTCTTCGTGTAATTCGGCAGATCCAGGTACGCGCAGGCTGCGAGCGGCTCGTCCTCACGCGGCGGGAACATGTATCCGTAACGAAACATCTCCTGCAATTCCATAGCAGGATCCTCACGACGAAACGACGCGCGCACGCGCTACGATTTCACGCGGATGATGATGATGATGATGAGTCTTCTCCTTCTTTTCCCGCGCTCCAAGATTTCCTTTCACTGAAACCGCACTTGATAACCGATCGCGAAAGTCTCTCCTTCTCCTCCGCAGCTTCTTATCCCCGGTGATCGATCGATCTCTCTTACTCGAGGATGGGTCGATGTACGAATCGTGCGCGTGAAATCGAGCCAAGACGAGCCACGGGGTGGTTCTGAAGCCGGGTAAAACGGCATCGGGATATTTATGCGTTCGTGGAGCGAGGCACCCTCGCGTAGCACGTGCCGCACCGCCAATCACCGTCGAGCGCGGTTCCCCACTTCGAGATGAAGGAGTCGAGGGAACCGGCCAAGTCGGAGTTCGCGAGCGGGGGCCGCAACAGGTGGCCCGGCGCCTCCGTCGTACCCGTACGAGATCTCGCATGTAGGAACCAGGTACAGCCATTAAAGTCATTGCGCATTACGAAAAATTCGATGCATTAAATGAATGAGTCGATGATCGCTTGCTTCATCGGAGAAATTATGGCTACGTTCAGTCTTGTGCTTAGATGATTTTCAAATTAGCTAGATAAAGATGAGATCAAAATATATGTAAATTTATCTTATAAAGATGATTTTGTTTTAAATATATCTAGATAAAATATAAAATTAGATAATTTTCTAGATAATCATTTTAAAAAATGCTTATGTAAATACAGTTATAAAAAAATGTAAATTATAAATAAAAATATATTCATATTTTTTTGATAAATTTTCAGTATTTTTATGCGCTATGACTTTCAATCAAATTATCTGAACATTATTCTAGATAATTTAATAAAGTGATAATATTTTTTCCCATCTAAGATGCAGATATAGATAATACATATTTTTGTTATCTATATAAAGATAAGATGACGCGAACGAAAGTTTCATCTAGATGATCATCTATATAACTTTATTTAAATAACAGCAAACACTGGCTACATTAATTCGATAAGTTAGATCCAGCTTACTGTTTGTTGCTATTTTCTTATGTGAAATCATGTATTTTTATATGTCTCTTCTTGGATTTTGTATTATGTAGATAATTTAATAAAACTAATGGCGAATGATGAAGGTTCCTCGTCTGATAGTGTTTGCTACCTGCTGTCGAGAAGCTACTTTATATATTCTTACGCTTCCCCAAGTGCAACACCGGAAAATCACCATTAACTTGTGCACGCGTGCATAAGGGTGAGTGTGCACCTCGTGACCGCACAACGGACACGCGTGCGAGTTTTGGCAGGTGGAAAGTATTATATAATTAGTAATTGGATCACTTAAAATACGTAAATACGTGAATTACATATGTATGTATCCAATAAAATTTACTTAAGTAACTTATTACAATACAAATGTCATAGAAATGATTCTGCGTCAAGTTTCTCGAAATGTCAAGACGTATATTGATGTGGCATGGAAATAATTGCAAATAGATGGTGTATTGATTCACACTTTACGATATACAAATTTTAAATATCGCAAAAACATTTTAATATTATATATTTCTATTATATAAATATATCATATATAAATCTGTTCTTATCTTGACATACTCACACTGAAAAGTGTAATTTTCTCTGTATACGAATACACACATTTAATATTCTTAAATACATTTTTTTACGCAAAGAAAAACTAGTTGAACACGATATGATGGCATTCGTCGGGAAAAAAAAACTTGGTTAAAACTTCCAGAATGCATCCCTCGATGCATTTGGACATGGAGAATCGACGAATCGGACTGGCTTCGGTCATTCCGTCTCTCGAGATGGATCGTATCTGCGCAAAAGGGTGCAAATACTTTAAGGGCGTAAGGTCCAGTTACATCTTTACTCGCTCAATTAGCGAAAACAGGTAGGATAAAGTTTGCGGTGACCGCGACACACGGTGGTCCGTGGCAACCCGATCTCTGTCATTCTCCTGTCGTTCCGGGCGCGCTTGCCGTCTTGAATTTCGGAGATCGTCTCACAGCCGCCCAAAAATTCCTCCTAAGTAGTGGAATAATCCCCTCTACTTAAAAACCTTCCGTATCTACGACGACAACGTTTTCGTGTATGAAATGCGCGTGAATCGACGCGCGATTTTGTCTCGCGTCTTTCAGTCCCGAACTTTTATTAAGATCCTAAAGTGACAAATAGATAAATAAATGCATTTATGGCATTCTAGGACAAGCCCTAAAAACATACAGCAAATAGAAACTGCAAGTAAAATAATAATAACAATGAATTACTGAAAAAAATCTATTAAGAGAGAAATAATAATAGCTAATAATTAATTAAGATGAAAATGCGCGCATCTTTAAAATAAAAATACGATATTAAAAAATGGAAATAATGTTATGATAAGAAATAAAAGAATATAGGAAAAAATGTATAACGAGAAATTAACTCTATAGCGAAATATCGATATAATTGACGTATTTAGCGAGAGTACCACTTGAAAAAAATTTTTTTCTCGCAGGTCCCAGGTGTTACAAGAGATTTTTCTTGCGCTCTCTTCAGTTTCCAATATCCCGCGCGATATTCTCTCACTTTTTTCCGTTCATCAGGCGCAATTTAAAAATTGATCGCTTTCATCTATTATCATCTCGTTCCACGGATGGAATTGTGGCGGAACCAATAATTAGGACGGCGAAGCGTAAGTCTGGCCTACCTGCCTCTGCCCTTGCCCTATACCTTTTACCTTTTTACCTACCTACCTGCCCTGTAACGCTGGTGTTGCACGCTCAACCCACTCATTCCGTTGCGTCTGGACTTTTCGACTTGCCAGAAACTTGCCGACGCAATCGAAACGAACAGAAAAGATAACACATTTATCAAGAAATAGCTTTTCTGAAAAGCTGAAATTAAATGGCTTATAATCCCGTGATATAAATGTGGTAAATTGAAAATACAGAATTCTACGTGTGACTACATAATAATAAACACACTTTCACATAATCTTTAAATACGAATTTTAAAATATATATTATAATTATAATTATAAAGAAGAAAATATGTTTAAAAACGTCAAAGTAAAGTACGCGGATGCGGTTTATTTGCGTATCGCGGAAGACAAGAAACACTATTTCAAGAACACAGCGTAAGCAGATTAAGAAGCGCAGAATCTAAAATGAGGCTTGCGCGAATCACTCTAGACCCGAGGAAAAAGAGAGAATTAAGCGACGTAGAGGGAAGAGAGAAATAATGTAGGCAAAGAGAGAAAGAGCTGCACGCGAGGCGGTCTGATGCAGGGTGGATCCGCCAGGGTGGGATACGCCCTGGGCGTGAGTCGAGTAATTAAATACAAAGTGAACTCATTTGTGGAGCTCGGTGGCAAATAACATGTTACCCGGCAACTAGCGGTAATTTATGAGGGCGCCGTATGACGGTGCGATCCCTTCGCCGGCCCTCCACGAAGATTCCCATTCCTCGTTGCCCTTTACGGCCAGTCCGATGAATATGCATTCGCAGATAGAGACGTGAGCTTTCGCGGACTGGACCGGAATTTGTTTCGGGACTGGGATAGTTATATTCGGAGGAACGCCACATTTTTATTCCACCCTCTTCTTCACGAGAACCCTCTCTCCCTTCTCATCCCCACGCCGACTGACCTTCCCTTCGCTATACGATTTCACGTCGTTTCATCAATAATTCATTGAATCCAACGTGCTCTGATAGATATGTTCTCTATTAGATCGAAAAGCGAGCAATTAACCCAAAATCATTATTGTTGCCTTCCGAGAACGGATGGTCGTCCTTCATATAACTTCCAACTCATTCAGCGGATCGAATTTTCAATCTTATTGTTAGATATTGAAAGTAAACGCGCAAATGTTGAAAAGATAAATGCACATCAAACTCCGCAAACTTTTTCAGAAATTAAAGATATACATATAATTTTTGAATGTTTAAAAAAAAGGCTGGAAAAATTATGTAGCAATAACTTTTTGATGTAGATCACAAAATCTTGAATATAAATTAGTTATATCGTTGAAAAATATTCCAGATTGATTAATAGGTCGACATATGTCGTAATAATTTCTGGCGTTCCTAGTACGTGTTCTTTTTTTTAATTACTGAACAAACTACCGTGGTATTTGTTGATGGGTGGCAGGGTGTCGTCCGCCACGAGCTGCCTGCCCTTCGGCCCAGCTCTCGTGTCTGCAGAGCCAGACAGACAGACAGAAACGAACTCGTAGAGGCTTGTTAAGCGAGTGCGTGCCGCGCTGATTCTGAGAATGCAATTACCGTATTATGCGGTTCCGCTTTTCAGATTCCTCGTTTTGTCCCAACGAGAGAGTCGCTACTATACCGCCGCCGCGCCGTTTGCTTAGTCGTGTTGTTGTGTCCGGTGATTCCAAACATGAAACGTGCGCTCCACTATTCGGCGAGCGCGTGAAACGTTCCTCAAACAAGGCCCCTTAGCCGTAACGAAGACACGAAACGAGACGATTCCTCGCAGAACACTCGGCCCGCGGTGATTCTTCGTCTCGAAATACTAATCGATCGATATTTTTTCAAGATTATTACACAGAGAGAATTTTGTCTTAGAATTTACCCTGAAAATCATGGTAATCTAAGACAATATTTAATATTTATCACAATAAAAATATTAATATCTATAACAATAAGATATAAAATATGTTCGATTAATTTTGCTACGTATATACAATAAATTTTACTATGCACATATTAATATTTTTTATTGCGGTAAATATTAATCAGAGAAATTAATACTAATCGATCCGATCGATATTTTTTCAAGATTATTACACAGAGAGAATTTTGTCTTAGAATTTACCCTGAAAATCATGGTAATGGCGAAGACAATATTAAGAGTTTTTCTAATTAATATTTATCACGATAAAAATCTTAATATCTATCACAATAAGATATAAAATATGTTCGATTAATTTTACTATGTATATACAATAAATTTTACTATGC